TGAATTTTGACAAGTATTGTCCCAAATAAATTTGGCACCTTTAACAAGTAGTCTGTGTAATGGGCTGGCAATTTTGGAAAAACCTTTCACGAATTTTCTGTAATAGTTCGCAAGTCCTAAAAATGCTCGCACGTCTGTTATATTTTGTGGAACTGGAAATGTTTTAACAGCATCTATCTTTGTTGTGTCGACTGCTATGCCATCTTTTGACAGAACATGTCCCAAAAACTTAACTTCTTTTGCGGCGAAAGTGCATTTTGTTGGTTTCAATTTAAGGTTAACTTCCCGTAGTTTTTGAAATAAAATTGTTAAGTGATGTAGATGTTCTTGGAAAGTTTTTGAAAATATTAGTACATCATCCATATATACCAGTGCGCTTTTCCAGTTTATACCACGCAAGGCTTCGGACATTACTAGTTGAAAAGTATGAGGACTATTTGACAGGCCAAACGGTAATCTGTTAAACTCGAAGACTCCCTCGTGACAGGTGAAAGCTGTTTTATGTTTAGTCTCCGGATCTAACTTTATTTGATGATATCCATTGAACATATCGACAGTGCTGTAGAATTTCGCCTTCGCCTCACCTAACATATCTACTATATCATCCATCTGAACAATTGGATAAACGCGTTTAACACAAAGCAAATTCAATTGTCGAAAATCAATGCAAAATCTATATTGTGGTTGATTTGATGCTGATGATGAAGATGTGGAACCTTTTTTTCTTACTAGACAAACAGGACTCGCCCATTCACTTTGGGACGGTTCGATAATGTTGTTGTCAAGCATTTCTTTGATATGTTTGCTTGATTCTGTTTTCATGGCTGGTGACTGCCTGTAGAACCTTTGTCTTACGGGTGCTGCATCACCAGTATCAATACGGTGGGGATGAAGATCTGTACAACCAAGTTCGGATAAATTTATAGCAAAAACGTCCCTATTTGTACCTAACATTACCATAAGTTTTTGTTTTTGTTCTGTTGTTAAATCAGAGTTAGAAAAATCGAAATTTAAACTTTTAGCTATTTCGATGTTCTTTGCTTCATTATTATTTTGTGTATCCTTATCTATTGAATTTATTTCCATTGTGTCATCTGTGATTTCACTTGAAATCAAGTTCTCTATAATTTCACTGAACTTGCCTATTTTTGTGTGTTTTGATAACCGTACTTTGGCATTTGTAGGATTAAGAACTTGTAAAAATGATTTATTGTTTCTTATTTGTACAAGACATGTGGCACCTACAATATTTTGTTTACCAACCAATGCTGGGTTCGGTTCAATAATACCTATTTTAGATTTTATACTTTTGTCAACAGTTTGAACGGGGATAATGACTTCTGACCTACTGGGAATTACTTCATCGTTAACTAAAGAAATAAAGCATATACTATTGTCATTAATATCACCATTAGTAAGGGGAACTTCAGTAATACCAGACTGCAGAACAAGGGTTTTGTCATCAAAATTAAGCCTAGCTTTTTGCTGATCTAAGAAATCTAAACCAAGAATAATTGAATGTGCGAAATTTTTAAAAATATGAAAGGTTTGTTGCATGGTTAAACGACCTATTTCTATAGGGACATCAATTGTTCCTATTCCTCTTAAAGATGCTCCACTTGCTCCTGTTGCAAGAAGCGATGCCTTTTTAAGTGTAACCTTCTTATGCAAATTTGCATAATAAAAATCTGCCGAAATTGCGCTAATAGTAGCTCCAGAATCAACCATAGCCATACCAAAATGATTTGCAACCCGAATTTTAATTAAATTTGATACTTTTGTGTTATTTAAACCTGTTGCCGAAATAAATTTTGTTGGTTGCGCCGAAAAATGTTTTTGTTTTGATCTACACATTTTTGCTTTGTGGCCTATGGATTTGCATTTATTACATTTTATTCTAATAAAGCGACATTGAGATGGAATATGGTCACACTCACCGCATCTGTAGCATGGGTTACGTCTGCGTTGTCGTCTTGGCGTTCTGGTACGATGTTGAACTTTGCGATAATCCAGAAGAGGTTTCACCATTGTCGGACTTGCAGTAGGTTGCTGGAGCGCTTTGCTGTTTACGGCACTTATTTGTTGTAGCATCTTCTCCATTTCCGGTTGCAGTTTTGTGACGATATTATCCTGCATTCTCTTCTGGTCTTCCTCTCGTAGACATTTGGATGTCGCTTCGACTGAACGAAGTCGATTTTCTGCTTCTGCCACTGTCTCTGGCCATTTACCGAAGGCCATTTGTCGCATAAGCTCAGGTTTACATTCATTCCGGAGCTTCCATAAAGTAAATTGTTCTCCATAATTGTGGTTTTCCGATAAAACATGAAGCCGGTTGATATATTCTGACACTGATTCTTCCTCGTGCTGAGATATGTTTATTAATTCGGTACTTGTCTGAAAATTTTGTCCAGAAGAAAATTCGTATTTCTTTAAAAACTCACACTTTAAATTGTTTCGACATTTTGTAACATCTTCTGACAATCTGTTATACCATATTTGTGCGTTTTCTTCTAGAAATAGTGGAAATGCATTACAAAATTTAGATTCATCGTAATATAAAGAAACGAAGTTTTCGAATAACTTCCACCAACGACTTGGGTTTTCGGTAAAGTCACCTTTGAATTTCGCTAATATTTTCGTAGGGTCCATTTTGAAATTAGTTGTACAGATCTAGATTATATTATTAAAAGTTCATCATAGTTGTGATAGGAATATTTCCAATGGAAACGGAAAACACATTTTTCTCTTCTTTCGTCGTTTCATTTCCTTGCTAAAATTTTGTCAATATATAGCACTTATAACGAAATATTGTTAATATTAAAATTACATTTTGTCACTCGCTTGGCTTTTGAGGTACACTTCTGAGATCACGGGACTTAATCCACCACATATGACCAGGTTATTGGTCACCTCTGTCATATTAATTAGTTTCGGGGGAAACTAGCGGTAGTTTAGATAAAGTCCAAGTCGCTGGAAAGTTTACATATTTATTTCGCATCCATATATTTCAATCATAAAAACATAACTGAATAACAACATAAAAACATATATAAAATACAATTTCAAAAGACTGATTGACATGCGGAAAAAGGAACCAATCAAAATATCTTGCTATCAAATATTATAAATCGCGTTTTGCCGAAAGCGGGGATTACGGATTAAAAACATGCTTCGTATAAGTTTGTCAAGAATGGCTTTCGGCAGTTATCACTTAAGTGTCAAATTATCTATGTTCTTTGTTACAGAACCTTTTATCTTAAAGACGGATATAAATCTTTGATAATTAATCTGAATGAAAGGATTATAGTTAAGTGTAAAATACAATAAACTAATAAATTATTTAAACGCAATGAGGACTCGGAATAATAATAAAAAGCTAACATTTATAAAAATATACAAAATCCTAAATGTGAACTTTGAACGAACAATTGTCGGGTCATATTCCTATCACATCAGCATGTTCTCTTCCCGATATGCATGTACTATCAAAATGCCTCTGAGGAACCTTTATCAGTCTTATACAAAACATTGTCCTGACATTGACCTAAATTTGCAATGGACAAAATCCCAATTTCTAGGATTAGTTTTCAGGATCACAAGAGTTTTCTGCTAGTAGAAATCAAATCATTATATTTGGCCAATAGAATGATTATTATGTAATTGTATATACACATGATTATCTGACCAGGGTAATTTGACTTTGACCTCATTTTCATTGTCCTGTGAGAAATATTTGATTTTCTTCATTAGAAAGAAAGTTGCTTATTTACTGCAACTTACATGTACAAGTCAACTATATTTGGTATACAGATTTGTAATGAGATTTAATTGACTGTCTGAGATGTCACCTGAATGTAATTCTTATTTTTGTTGTTCAACTGATAAATTTTGGTTTTCATCATACATGTGATAAGGTAAATTTTTGTTTGTACAAGGAATGAGTCAAAAGGTTTACATGTCGGTTTGATACATGTTATTTGACCATGACTTTATTTTCATGGCTAAATAGTTCATGCTAATTATTGTGATTTTTTCAGTTAGCTTGCTCCATAGACCCGAGTTTAATATGGGTATTTATTTCATGAATGTTAGCCGTGCTAAGAGCAAAGCCTTATCAGCTTCAAGTAGAATAATGTGTCCTGGTAGCTTGACATCTCTCCCTTCAGACTGTTACTTTGTAATATGGCACATACAAATCTTTTCATCGTGTAGGTTTCGTACAGAGCAGGGTATATTCATATCACATGATTTTACTGCCCTGGAGATACATGTAATAGTTGCCACTGGATTTGCTTCCTTGTTTTTATCCTCATCACTCTTGGTGTAATAATTGAACTCATCCTCATCCTTGACCTTATTTCTTTGTAATTCTAAGTAATGGGTTTGACTATACATGATAAACAGAATCAATGTAAGGTGACAAAGGTGACCTATATCTGATTTTCATGATTCATTACTTCACAAGCCTTATTCATAGAAGAACATTTTTGTTATTTACTGCAAACAATAGGTAAGTCTTAGCCCTAGTCTTAAGACAGGTAAGATTTTCATGTCCATAAAAGGTCATCAAATGCATGGTTCACAATTTTTTAAGAACTAATTTCTTTTGTCTATTATCTGATTGCAATACACCTTTGTTAGTTTGATTTGTGTTGATTGGTTGACCTTGACCAGTTACAACTAATATATTGCATATTCCCCTATGCTGCCTCTAGCAGCCTATATGTAGGAGAAATAACATACCATTTGGTATTTTTTCAGTAACTTCATTACGAGGAATAGGTTTGGCTAAAATAATAAGAGTATTTTCATACATGTGTCATTTGTCAGTTACATTATCAGCATGGTTTATGGGTGAAATTTCTTGGTAGAAGTCAAATAATTAAAACGCTATTCACCTACCAGTGTAAGACAGCAGTTTGAAAATGTTGGTTCTTCTGGTCAAATTCTGTTGATTATGATATGAAATATGAATAGTTTGATGAAATTATTACTTACAGGAAAAGTCAATGTTAAAGAGCTTACAAAGAAGAAAAAAAGTGCATTGAACAGAGCAGACAGAAGACACCAGGTAAAAATAATGTTATGTCCAACAAACTCATCATAGATACCAGGATTGATATTTTGTATTTGCACCAGATGCGCATTTCGTCTACAAAAGACTCATCAGTGACGCTCGAATTAAAAAAAGTTAAGAAAGCCAAATAAAGTACGAAGTTGAAGAGCATTGAGGACCAAAAATTAATGCATTTTATATCATAATTCAAAGGTTTAACATAAAAAAAGGGATTTCATATATTTGTAAGATAAAGGTACTTGTAGATGTGAAATATTTCACAAAGTCGTATGGTAAAAATTTTAAATATCTAACACCAATGTTAATGGAAGACCAGACAATTCACCAACACATGAGAATACATAATTGTCAACTTCTAAAATTCTCCATGGAGGACCTAATACTTGTATTTCTCATATATTTCAAGAGAGTTTTTTCTCTAATATATTATTGTGTTGAATAATATTCTTGATATTGTGGGATTAGATTTTGTGAGGAAAATCATTGTTTGCTTTATGACAGTTCCCAGAGCACAGAAATAAATTGTATCTGTCTTTGACTCAAAACAGGATAAAAATGCACAGCCTAGCATTCTATCTGTTTTTAAGCCATGTACAAATAAATATTTTATTTTGAGACAATGTATAGTTATTCTTTATAAATCACGTTAAAACATGGAAATCGTATAATGATTTGAATGAAAATTCCGCAATTATGATTGTATTTTACAATTTTATTAATTTCAATTTATCAGGCTTCACAGATTAGAAAACAGAAGAGAGATGAAGTTTTAGCAAAGAAAAGAGGCAGAGGAGGGCAAGGGTCTCCTCCTCATTTTGTTGTAAGTATAACAATATGAAATTGTAAATTAGACAACAACAAACCAAAATATAGAAGAAAAACAGATGAACAGTTTAAGGTCACAATACATTACCGGTATCTAACAAATATTGATTGCCTGAAATATCTTAAGCTGTACATGTAAGAGACATATAAAACACCCATAAAAAAAAAAACCAATTACTAAAATGTACAAAATGTACATTTGTACAGAATGCAGCTTTGTACCACTTGGAACAAAAGTCTTTGAATGAATTAAAAATTCTGATACACATAATTATTGAAAAATATGGAAATGACGTACGATTGCCAATGCTACAACTATTCACCAGACTTCAAATGTGGTGCAAGTGGATATAAGCAATTATAGGTCACCATACAGGATCAATAATGGAAAAAAAAACATACTCTATAGTCAGCTATAAAAGTCATGACATAAAAAATGTGAAACAATTCAAAAGAGAAACTAACGTCCTAATTTCTATCAATACAATTTACACAAAAAAGATTGGCCGACATGAACCAACAACAACCACTGAATAACAGGCTCCTGACTTGGGAGAGGCACATAAAGAATGTGAAGGGGTTAAACATGTTTGTGAGTGCTCAACCCTCGTCTAAGTTGTTTTTATTGTTAATTTGCTACTAAAACCCAAATTATTTTAATACATTAACTAAGTTAATAAACATTGTTAAAGGAGCAATTTTTATGTCTTTTATTTTGGTTACTGATCTGTGATATTTCATATACTTATTTAGAAACATATCTGTTACATTAGATATGATTACTTATTTACAGGTTATTTTAAAATTACACAAAGATGTAGATATAAGTTCAGTGGTATCTCTGTTAAAGACATGTGATGAGGAAGCTACAGTGAATCTAAATGAACAGGGAATCTGTCATATTAGGTATATACATGTAGAAGAAATGTTATAGTTATTATCAAAATCAAAAGATAAAACATACTGATAATTGTACTGTGTGCAATATTCAACATGGCTATATATTTTGTACAAGGCATTGATAGGAGAAATAATTGATTGAATAGTTTAAACCACACTTGAAGTGATGAATGAAAAAGAAAGCAAATTTCTTTTACATCCCACTGACATTTGAACTACATGTAGGTATCCTTGAGCTAGTCTCTATGCAGTATGATGCCCTCTGTACATTTTCTTCTTTTTATGCCCCCGCCTTAGTTTTACCCGTGTCCGTCCATACGTCCGTACGTCCCAAAATTGGTTTCCGTTCTCTAACTTTAGTTTGCCTCAACCAAATGTTATGAAACTTTTACACAATGCTTATTACCACAAAACACAGATCAAGTTTGAATTTTGGTGGCGTCACTTTAACCGTTTTAAAGTTATGCCCCTTTACAAATGGAAAAATTGCTGAATTTTTCGTTTCTGTTCTCTAACTATAGTTTGCCTCAACCCAATGTTATGAAACTTCTACACAATGCTTATTACCACAAAACACAGGTCAAGCTTGAATTTTGGTGGCGTCACTTTAACCGTTCTTGAGTTATGCCCCATTACAAATGGAAAAATTGCTGAAATATTCGTTTCCGTTCTCTAACTTTAGTTTGCCTCAACTAAATGTTATGAAACCTATAAACAATGCTTATTACCACAAAACTCAGATCAAGTACAAATTTGGGTAGCGTCAATTTTACAGTTATTGAGTTATGTCCCTTTATAACGTTATATACAAGCGGGGGCATCATCTGTGTCCCATGGACACATTCCCCATTTTTATTTTCTGTCTGAGTTTAGTTAGTTAGTAAATAGAAGGATGTGTATATAAATTTAATCTCTGTTTACTAGACTGACTAGAGATGTTATGCATACAATATAGCGTAATAATGACATGACATTACATTATATTACAATTTATGTTACTATATATTTATATTTCAGTATTCCCCGATTTAAACAGAGGGTATCTATCTACACACCAGAGTATGGTAATATGCATGCTTTACTGGACGCTGTAAAAGTTGCCGACTCCTTATTATGTCTTTTGTCAACAGATGGTGGTATGGATGATTTTGGGGATTATTGTCTGACATGTTTATGTGCTCAAGGCATACCGGCTGTTAACTTTGGTGTTCAGGTAGGTATTAGAAATGATGAATTAAAAAGTAATTTCTCTAATTTTTTCGCTATTTTCGCATTTCTTGGTGGGTGTGAGAAAAATATTTCTCATCACTAGTGAAATATCTGTTCTCGGCAAATGATTGGTCGAAATTTAATTATGACGTCAGATTTTCTTGGTTTCTTCTGAATTTTCCTATTGTGACGTCATGAAAAAAGGCGACCATGCATGATGACGTCACATATAAAGAACACAACTTTCTGCAAATCTTTGATAAGGAAGGATAAAATCATTAGAGAAACAGATTCCACCACTATAACTCGTGAATTACGATATTTCTCCACTCTCAACAGTTAAATTTTAATTATTTAAAAAGCTCCGCAAGCCTCGCGCTTTAAATATTAAAATTTAACTGTATCGAGTGGAGAAATATCGTAACACACTTGTTGCAGTGGTGGAATCTATATTTCTTTCATGAAGGTAAACTTCCTTTCAAATTTTTAATTTCTCATTCCAATGTTGTGGGACTGTAACCTTTGAAATTTAAACAAATTGGCATATATATATTGACATGTCAAGTTTGCATTCTGTGATTTTTTTCCATTAATCTTTATACAACGTTTCAAACTATTTCAGCAAGCTTCCCTTTCATTTTGTCAACTTTTAGATTAGTTATTGTAGTGATATAGAACTTTGATTGATGGAATTTTCTCATTTTGGTTCATGTCCCAAGATAACTGAGGTTTGTTTTATACAAAATGCATGGTATTAAGGTTTTTATACAGACATGCTCCATTTTATTTTTGACCATTTTTTAATTGACATTCAAGATATATGAGATATTTCTTTTCCATTGTTGTCAAGAAATTATAATTTGTGATGTGTCTTGTTCATACTCCAAGTCTTATCACATCAAATTTTCAATCAATAAAAGATACATTCTTTTATTTTCAGTTTTAAAATATTTTCATTTTTGTTGAATGGTCTGTAGATATCATGCACTCATGGCATAACTGTTAATTATACAAATATATACTTTTAATTTCAGGGATTGAAATCTATTCCCCATAAAAAACAAAGTGATGTGAAGAAATCGATACAAAAGAGGATAGATAAAAGGTAAGTGGTAGGACCTCTTTTTTTTACGAGCTCAAACCCTGTAATTTTATTCGAGGAATCAATCGACATGGAGATATGCAATTATAAATAGCAAGTCACTCTAAAGTTATAAATGGCATTTGATGAATAAGAATAAGAAGAATATTTATTGAATCCAATTAAAGGGCCCATTTCCGAGCATATACATATAGATATAGTATTAATTATACAGTAATTTTTAAGATATATTACCTTAAAAATAAATGATTAAATAACTATACTCCATACCAGATGAACAAAAGGAAACACTTTTAATTGCATTGAATACGAGATACTTCATGCTATTATCATACAGAACAATTACAGAAAGTGTATGACTACCTAATATACAAAAGTAATAATCAATTACATAGTCACATCTTTTATTAGGTATTTAAAAAAATAGGAAACCAAACAAATTTGAATGAATGAACCCTTCAAAAAACTAAGTAATAAGAGATTTGATATTTTAAGTTAATAGACCTTGTCACTATTTGGGAATCTGTGACACTTGAACAATAGATGTGATACAACAATCACTTTTCCTTTGTGGCTTCATTAATTTTAAAAGTCAAAATTTATTGAAACCTTTGTGATGTCCAATAATGGCAGACAACATAGCGATAAGGTGTATTTGCGCTGTCAGTTTGATATTTAGTCTTGAATATGGCATCAATTGTTATGCCCCACTGTTTTTCGGTCTGTGCGTCTGTTCGTTCGTCCGTCTGTTTGTCTGTCTGTCCCGCTTCAGGTTAAAGTTTTTGGTCAAGGTATTTTTTGATGAAGTTGAAGTCCAATCAACTTCAATCTTAGTACACATGTTCCCTATGATATGATCTTTCTAATTCTAATGCCAAATTAAGAGTTTTGACCCCAATTTCACGGTCCACTGAACATAGAAAATGATAGTGCGAGTGGGGCATCAGTGTACTATGGACACATTCTTGTTTCTTAATGAAAAAGACTCACTTTACAACTACAATGATTTAGTATTCAAACAGATGAAGATTTTGTTGATGTTTCTTGTATTTGAATTGTTCATTGAAAAAGGATATATGAAATTTTATAGAAAACTGAATTGTTAGAATTGAAATTACATATGAAGAGAGCGACTGTTGAAACACACGGGTGTCATGATATCACTTTTGGCAGCTAGCAGGAAAAGTTAATTTTAAATTCTCACAAGATCCTTTAGAAATGAAATTCAAGAAAATTGAGGAACTCATAGATATTTCTTACAAAAATGACAAAATAAGTTTAAAACATATTTTTTATTAATAGATTTCCAGGAGATAAGTACCATTCAATTGACAGCACTCAAGATGCATTGCTGATGTTACGATTAATTACCAACCAGAAGTTAAGACCCATTTTCAACAGAGAATATCGTCCACATTTACTTGCAGAGGATATTCAGTTTGAGTTACCTAATGAAGAGGTCTGTATTTATTTAGCATGTAATGTTAAATCCTAGATCTTATTGATATGCAATAAAAAAGATTAGAAAAGATTATGTATTTTTGGCATGAAATTATAATTTCTTGTGTAATGTATTCTTTCAAAATGGTTGAAATATAAAAGTAATGACAAGAAATGAATTCTAGATGTATTTTTCACCATCATGTTTTGCTTTGTGTATAGCAATATATTTCTATTTTTCTCAATTTTGTTTGTATTAATTATAAAAGAAATAGTTTGTGTATTTTTTAATCGATAATATATGATATGTTTGTAAGAACTTGTATGTGTTTTTTGTAATTTGCAGAGTGAGGTTGGAACATTAAAAGTAAGTGGATATTTGAGATGTCAGAACCTGTCTGTTAACAGTCTAGTCCATATACCAGGCTGGGGCGACTTCCAGATGTTACAGATCGATGCTGTTAAAGATCCATACTCACAGAATCAGAAATCTAGGGGAATTGCTGGTCAGGTAAGGTATTTGGTGATTTTGGCATCAGTACTTAAAATAATAGTTACACATACAGTTTAGTTTAGATTAGTTTTGTTTTCCTTATATTTAACAGAAGTATGCACTGCTCTCAGTTTGCTTTTATATATTGATGAAATATGTTAGCAAATGTTATTGATGATGAAAGTATCTGATTCACTTTTTAAAGTTATGTGAATTTGGAATTCATAATCTTGCCAAAGTAGAATTTAGCAAATGACCTGTAACTGGGAAAAATACAGGATTATATATGTTCTAAATTTTGAACAAAGTACTGACAGTGATGAGTGAAAAATGATTCAAATTCAAAATGCAATTTCTGATACAGAACATTAAATGCAGTAAATTTATGAGTGAGAATTTGGAATGGACATATTTTTTATAACGCTTTTGTCATTACTATAAATAAGGCCAATGATCTTCCATTTTCTGAAAAAGTTTTTATTAAGAAAAATGCAAAAAGTGAATTTAGGTTTATTCTAATATATAAATATAATTTCTGCCAAATGCTATTGAAAACAAAATAAATTTTAAGTGTCTGTAAGTATAAGTATAGCTACTCAGTACTGCATGCCACCATTGGATTAAGATTAAATGATTTTCATGAGGCATAATGAAATAAAACTCCTATATTTTTAGGATACAGAAATGTCAGAATCAGAAGGCTACGTGACTGTATTAGATAAAGTTAATCCTTCACAACAAGAGTCATTAGAAAGTGAAAATGTCCCTGACCCAATGGAAGGAGAACAAACATGGCCTACAGATGAAGAATTAGCTGAAGGTATGTTTTATATAAATAAATTTTATTTAGTTAGTAAGAAAGACTGTTGATGTTAAGTGCCAATCTGTCTAAGAATCAGGCAGTGGTTAAAACATGACAAACTAAAACCCACTCAAGTTGACATTAATTTATGTTCAAATTGTATAATGGTGCACGAATATAACATTTGTTTCCTTGTCCTGTTCTGGTAATTCAAGATATAACTTAGTTGAAATGCATTAGAAATTAAAAATTAAGGGGAGCTAACTCCTTAATTTGCTATCATTCTAACCAAAAGTTATGTAGAGATTTCTGGAATTACCAGACAGCAGAAACAAAAGACCAACCAGTTCTAACTCAGGATGAGGGTAACTTCAAAATAGGATGGTTAGGTCAGTGGGTTTTTTTGGACCATGTTTTGATTTTTTTCTAAATTGCCTGATTCTTACAAAGACTGGCACTTAAATAAGTTTTTTTTAACAAAAATTTAAATTATTACATAGCTTTTTGGAATAAAATTTAAATCTTTCACGCAACCAATGATATAAAACTGTTGATCAAGAATATAAGACATTCATCATTCGGCTGGAAAAAAGTGCTGCTGCCATTAGTATAGGAAAATTGCCTCTAATACATCTGCTGTAAAGATATCATATTATAATAAATTAAATAGGTATGAATGGCAGAGGTCAGACATGCAAAGATTGACACATATCATGGTAACTTTGGACTTAAAAACATGATATAATGCTTTACATAGTAATGATTTCTGATCCTTCAGTCACCTGGCTATTGAGAAAACATACAGATTTTTTCAACATTTAACTTTAAAAAAAAACTAAGAAATTTTGAACTAGTATATTGAAGACTGAACAACTGTATCTCATTGGTGTTGAAAATTGCACTTTGTACGGTTTTCTGACCTCAAACGGATGTAAATGTTTGACCCTATGTCATTTAAATGTCATAAAGAATGTGATTCAACCACTGAATTGTTAAGGGTCCAAAATTTTACATTACATTAGAGTCGGTCATTTATCATACAACTTGAAAAATATACTGCTACCTTTAGTTAAAATATAAGGCAGAAGATACCAAAAGGCAACCAAAAATCCTATCTGAAAAACACAATTACCAAAAGAAAAAATATAGATTAACAGCAGTCTAAAACACTAGACAAAAAATTAATGACAACAAAACTAATCACTGCAAAATGGGATGTGATCTTAGGTGCTGTGGAAGGGAAAGATGACCCTGCTACACTAGTAACACCTATTTAAAAATAAAACAAATATATTACACTCAAGCCTTAGGTTTAGCTTTGTTGAAAATTTAAATAGTTAGTGGGAAGAAATATTTTTCCTGTTTTGTTCATTGGCACAAATCTATATTGATTGAATACATTTGTTTTTTAGCTGATAAGAATGCAAAGAAGAAGGTTGTAAAGAAAGTTCCTAAAGGTACCTCAGAATATCAGGCTTCATGGATTGTAGATAGTGATGAAGATAATGATGTAAGTTTCTTTATTTTCCCAAAAGAGTCTGCACCTATCCTGGGATATTGTAATGCTATAATTTCCTGGATTTGTATCATATAACCATAAAGCTTGTCTCAAGTTGGAGTCTGTTTGAATGAGCTGGATGTATAACTAGTACAATGACGTCCTGTCTGATTATTCGACACATTTCAATAAGAATATATTGGAAGAACCAAAATTTACTGTTCTGTGAGGGGCTAAAGTTTCAGATTTTATCATATATGCTGTTTGTTTTTAGTAATAGTGAACATTTCCTATGTTTCAGAATTTCCTAGTGTACACACTTTTCAAATCCTATGAAAAGTTTCTTGCTAAACTTGGTATTGTGCCAGTAATCCATTACATGTTTAGAAAAATCTGTTGAAATATAGTCATATTTTATTTAAACTTAATAGCTGACCAATGATTACATTTTGAAGATTAAAAAAGGTGTATATCTTGTTAATGAGATAACCAGATCCCTAAGATGAGGTCAGATTGCCACTGTTTTTAACTACTTTTCAAGATAGCTTTTAAATGGGCTTATCAAGAAAACATTTGACAGTACTATAGCTGTAATATTGATTGATTGATTGATTGGTGTTAAACGCCACTTTCAACACTATTGTGCTATTTCGTGGCAGTCAGTTTTTATTGGTGGAGGAAGCAGGAGAGAACCACCGACCTTCGGTAGGAAAACTGACAATCCTAGTTTGTTAAGATTGGAGTCGAGTGCACCTGCCCTGTGCGGAATTCGAACTCACAACCTCAGTGTTGACTGGCTAGTGATACAGTAGTTCGACTACTTAGACCACTCGGCCACCAAGGCCCCCTAAAGCTTTAATAAATTTGAGTATTTTTAAATTCAGACATGCATAGAGTAATTTCCAAAGAGCAATAGAAGCATTTTCTGTTTAACTATATAGTTATTAATGAACATTTCAGGTAAGCTCGATTATTTTAATTCAACACTTTTCTGAATGTTGAAATTAAAGAATCTGTTGAGATAGACTTGCATGACACAATTAATTGTTTAGAAAGCACTGTACCAAGTAAACTGCCTAAAAAGATGACTAGAGTTTTCTACTGATTTTTATGCCCCACCTACGATAGTAGAGGGCATTATATTTTTCGGTCTATGTGTCCTTTCGTCCGTTCGTCCGTCTGTCCCATTTTTGATGAAGTTGAAGTCCAATCAACTGGAAACTTAGTACACATGTTCCCTATGATATGATCTTTCTAATTTTATTGCCAAATTAGATTTTTGACCCCAATTTCACGGTCCACTGAACATAGAAAATGATAGTGCGAGTGGGGCATCCGTGTGCTATGGACACATTCTTGTTTTCAAATCATACATGTCTATAATAAAAAGTCAAGGGTGCAATCAAAAATCATAAGTCCAATAAAAACAAACACCATAGCCAAAAAGAAAAACAGCAAAAAATACCAAAAAAAAACCAGGTTTATAGTATCTTTCATGTCTAGAAAATGAAATGAAACACCAGTACTGCATAATTGATTAATATACAAATAAGGAGATGTGGTATATGAAGTCTTTAAATGATAGAGTTTTTAGATTTTTAGATTTTTAAAATTGCCTGATTTGTATAGACAAGAACATAATTTTCAAACTGAACCATATAGTATTTGATAAAAAGATACATAACTATTTGTAGTCACAGCTAGATGAAGAAAGTGATGAAGAAGATGATGAAATGCAAGGAGTAGATGAAGATGAATCAGGTGATAATGAAAGTGACAATGAAGAATTTGAGACTGTAAGTAGGATATAATATATAAATAATATATATGATACATGTATATTGTCAGTAGGATATCATGTGTCACTATATCTCTTAGGTACTGTTAAAAAAGGTTATTAGTAAAAGTTAAAACATGTGTCACTGTACCTAAGGCCTGATTATTTAACAATAGTAGAAGATATTTTTCATACAAGAAGAAAACAGTTCATTGAAATACATTGTCAAATGCTTAGTTTCAACTTAGCGACTCCTCTGTGTACCTGAGTTCAGTGCATGACTACTAGAATGTGTGTTGCATGCATTGATGAATACTGTACATTTAAAGTTGTGGTAAAAAATTTAGTACAACTTAGCTACCCCTGTAAATACATCAATTCATCTCTTTAACTTTAAAACTCCTTGGAATTCAGGGATGAAACTTGGGATTATAATTCAACACTACTATAATTTGTGTCCCATGCTTGGAAGAAAATTGTACATTAATGATCATTGTCTAAAATAGATATAAGAAGATGTGGTATGAGTGCCAATGAGACAACTCTCCATCCAAGTCAAAATTTATAAAAGTAAACCATTATAGGTCAAAGTATGGTCTTCAACACGGAGCCTTGGCAAACACCGAACAGTAAGCTATAAAGGGCCCCAAAAATTACTAGTATAAAACCATTCAAACGGGAAAACCAACGGTCTAATCTACATAAAAAACGAGAAACACTTATGAACCAAATCAACAAACAACAACTACTGAACATCAGATTCCTGATTTAGGACAGGTGCAAACAAATGCAGCGGGTTTAAACGTTTTAATGGTACCAAACCTTCACCCTTTTTCTGAAACAATAGTGTAACATCACAACATAGAAAGACACACTATAAAATATCAACTGAAATAGCTTAACTCAAAGGACATATTAACACCAGTGAACATACACTGAACAAATAAATTTGACCTATGATACAATGCTGTTTAACTCAAACACCCCTTGCAGGGTCCTTTGTGATTGCTTCACTATCTTCTCTGAAAATTTGAATGTGTAAACATGCAGTTTAAACCTACATTGATCTTATTTACAGTTGACTGTGACAGAGGCTGATGAAGATGCTCGATATGATGAGACAATGGATTTAGATGAAGAGAAAAATATGCAAGAATAATTATTTATTTGTAAAATTGTATATTCCAATTCCTAATCTTTTTAACTGAGTGGTATTGACTTTAAGACCAATAATATGTTGATGTTTGGAATAAAATATGGATAATAATCACTATCTTACTCAGAAGTTTTTTTTCAAGTTATTTGTGGTATTCGCTTATTCAAGTTGAAAATATTAGCAAAACATTTAAAGGTGATAGTGCAAGTGAGGCACAGTGTCCTATGGACACCTATTCTTTCCTTTTTTTTATGTAAAGTCAAGTAGAACCATCAACATTTATATAAAAAAGCTTAAGATGTTTAAAATAAAGTAAATTTATTTCATTACTTTTTTTTACTAAAGATAAATATAAAGTTATGACTTCAATCATTTGATTATGATTTTTAAAAATCAGTTCTGATGGAATTTTATTTTAGGCTAGCAAAGATAAAGGAAGAGAGATTACATGTAATGTTTCCTGATGAGGTAGATACACCAATGGAAAGGACTGCTAGGGAAAGATTTACTCGATATCGTGGATTAAAAAGTTTCAGAACTTCCCCTTGGGATCCAAAGGAAAACTTACCATTAGATTATGCCAGGATTTATCAGTTTGCAAATTTCCGTCAGACTAAGAAACGTGTGATGAATGTTGAATCCGATGGTGGAGCTTTGGTGAGCTATCATTAAAAAGTGTTTTGGATAAATTTTTTAATTTGTCAAATTATTCATTGTTGTTGCTAAAGCTATGAAAATGCTTCATTATTTGTTTTCTAATCTATGTAAATTTGTCAATTTTTTTAAACTGATGGAAAGAAAAAATTTCAAGTATAAAATTAAGACTAGATTATGTATATTATGCCTGTCATGACAAATGGAAGAGGGAATTAGAGATATTGGGAGAAAGGACATCAAAGGAAACAGAAAAATGGGGGATGCGATGGAGGTATTCCTCTCTCTAACACACAGCTGTCTTTCCAAAATCGTATGAATTTTATAGATCATTATTGTTAATATTTTAAGATGACTAAAATATCAAAAGTTTAGTTAAAAGAAAGTTAATTTATAAGATATAGTTTTGTTTAATTACTCCTGATTTTATATTATTTTATATAAGTTACATACCACGAGTTTGTCTGTGATTCATTTATTTGTGGAAGGAGGAATTGTTCAATAACTGAAGAAGTGGTTTGCCTAAACTCATGATACCCACCCAAAATGGTATGCTGCAAATACTAATGAATCTGTGTTCTTACAACTTCTTAAATATGGATATGTTTTATAAACTAGAGAATAATCTTAATTCATCTTTTTTCTTTTAGCCTGGATGGTATATCACTGTTCATATTGCAAATGTCCCCAAAGAATTTATGGGTAAGAATGAGTGAAATAATTTTCTATACTATTTCTTTGATGTAGCTTCTGTGGATTCACTTATTTTCAAGTGTAACAATTTTTCATGGATTGATGGAAAATTGCATTTTCATGGATATTTGATTTCATGGTTTTGCCAAAGTCTGCATACAAGCTTATAGAAAAGTTGTTTTTTGTCGAACATTTAAATTTGAGATTCATCTTTACCCACCTAATCCACAAAAATGTGTATCCCACAAATAAAAATGAATCTATAGTAATAGTAGGAAATAAATCTGCTAAATGCTTCCTATTGGAGATAGTCATGGCAAAGAACAGTTTTGAAAATCTGTATGAAAAAAAGTGGTACATTTGTACAATAATTTGAAAAATGATAGATTAAAAAATATTTTGATTTTAACAGTTATCAATTACATTCTTTTTAATGGAATGTACAATAATTTGAAAAATAATAGATTAAAAAATATTTTGATTTTAACAATTATCAATTACATTCTATTTTATAATGGACTTCTATTATTTTTGAGGCTTAAAAGAATATTTAACACGAAACAGAATATTACAATTGATGGATGTAATTTTCTAGAATGCCATGTTCAGAAGTTATTTATTCAATTTCTACATAAGTATTTATTATATGTTTTCAGAATCCTACAAACCAGGGAACCCTGTAGTAGTATTTGGTCTGTTGAAACATGAACAGAAAATATCTGTTCTAAACTTCATGATCAAGAAGAACAGTTTTTACACTAAACCAATTAAGTCTAAAGAAAGACTGATCTTTCATGTTGGTTATAGGAGGTTTTCAGCATGTCCTGTGTTCTCACAACATACAAATGGTACAAAACACAAGGTAAGCCAAGTGGGACAAAACATCTGGAGGTTCTCATAGATATTAAAAATCTCTGTAAAGAAGAGAATTATAATAGTCCTATGTATTGTTATTTAAAAACATCATTTTGGTATTTCTTTTAGAACTTCAAGGTGTTGAATGCTATAATAATTTTTAGTTTTTCTAGACACATGTCACTTTAGTACTTTACATGTTCAAGATTTTATTAAAAGGTCTAACAGATTTCTAGTACCTTCATAAAGTGGTATTGCTACTGGCACAGATGATTATCACCATCAAACCTAAGTCAACATCACAGAAAATATGATTTGCTTCTTTTTCTTTTCCTCCTTTTCCATTCTTCTTGTTCTTTTCTTGTTTTTATTTATAGTTCGTATAATATTTAATGAATTTGTTCGCTTTACATGCATGCTCATAATTTTATTATTGTATATATACTTGTATTGTAATATGGAGAAGACTTCATCAGTATGATTTACTTGTGTCTCATCCATTTTGCTGATATTTAGCTGGGTTTAAGCTAGGATTTTGAGGGCTTTAGTCACTTTTGCGCGAGATGAAAATCAACATTATTTTGGGTAACAGCAAGGGACCAAGGATGTATGTATATTACTAACTATACATCTTTGTCAGACTTTGGAGGACTAATTACATGATTTGACTGATGTGTCACTTAAATATGAAGATTAGGATAAAAGATCTGAAAATCTAGTTCAAAGTTTTACTTCAATTAGTTTCAGGGGACATTCCTGATCAACAAAAGTTGGGTTCCTTTTTTTAAAACCAGGAATCACAGTATAAATGAACTTGTAGAACTTTGTAAGACTATTACACTGCATAATCATTATCCTTACAAAATGTTTAAATCGATATTTTGAATTAATTTCTATAAAGTTGGAACCAAGGATTTGTACAAATTCAACTGGAACGAATCCAATAACTAAATTGTAAATCGAGAATTGATCACGTTTACTTTCGATTTTCAAATGAAATGTAAACGGGAAGTGACGAGTAGATAATAAATTCAGAATGAATCCGGATTCATCTACGGATTGGTTCGTGTTTTAAAAAAGGCAGGAAATTATCATTTTTTTGATTTCAATTTGCTAAGTAAGAGCTATATTTGTCTCTCTCATTTATTTTGGCACTAAATTTATTTCATATTTTACGTTTTAGTGTGTATAAATTCATAGGAATACTTTCACGCATGCACAGTATATCGTAAAGGAAGCACCTGTTAGACTCGTTGATGTTGATGGAAGTTTTTAACGTGAAAACATTTCTGAACGTTTTGAATAAAGTTCTATCTTTTTAATCGAAATTGAACGTTTTATATCAAAGATGACGAAAATACGATCATCTGACGAAACTACGACAAACGAACTGCAAGTTATGTTCGTTTTAGAAATATTGAAATTAAAAAGCGAATTGTCCGGGGGAAAACAATTTTGTTCAAATGACGAAACTACGAGTGAACTGCAAAATCTGGTTGTTGGCCTTGAGAAATATTGAAATTAAAATGCACACTGACTAATTTTACTGGGGAAAATAATTAACCGGATTAGTGACCCATCCGATGGCAATAAGCAGATTATCTGTAATCACAACTTTATAACACCTGTTGTAAATGTTAATTAGCTGATGGTCATAAACTTGTCAGAAACATGTAAACAGGTAGAATTATAGCATTTTCATGCGAAAATATTTTTACACTTTCCAAATTTAAGTGACAAAATTGATTTGAAATACTTTCGTCATTTTGAGAACAGTTTCGTAAATTACGAAAGTGACGAGCCCTAGCAAAATCACTGTATTTAGCAATAAAATATGTTTAAACTAAACTAGTACTTTACATATTGTATAAACACTTGTCTGTTCTTGAAGACTGTATGTTAATCTATAGATGTGTTTTTGGTTGATTGACAATAGGTAGCTGTCTCATTGATATATAACCACCAAATATGGAACAGATAAAAAAAAAAACATAATCATATACACATTATAATTTGAACATATCACATGTTACTAATTTACTTTACATAAATTTTTTAAAAAAAAAGTCGTTAATGCAAGAAAAGATATCATTTGAAACTTTGCCCATTGAATATTTTTATACGACCGCAAAAACATTTTTGTGATCGTATATTGGTATGACGTTGGCGTAGTCTGCGTCGTCGTCATCGTCGTCGTCCGAAGACACATTAGTTTTAGCACTCTTACTTTAGTTTAAGTGAATGGATCTCAATGAAATTTTACCATAAGGTTCAATACCACAAAAGGAAGGTGGGGATTGATTTTGGGGGTTATGGTACCAACAGTTAAGGAATTAGGGGCCAAAAATAAGCATTTTTGTAACTTCCAGACATAACTTGTGTGTAAGTGTATTGATCTCTCTGACATTGTACCACAAGGTTCCATATCACAAAGGGAATGCTGGGATTGATTTTGAGGGTAATTGCCTCCAAATTTTAGGAATTAGGGGCCAAAAAGGGGCAAAAAACAAGCATTTTTCTTGTTTCATGACAATTACTTGTGTGTAAGTGTATGGATCTCTCTGACATTGTATCACAAGGTTTCATAACACAAAGGGAATGCTGGGATTGATTTTGGGGGTAATTGCCTCCAAATTTTAGGAATTAGGGGCCAAAAAGGGGCAAAAAACAAACATTTTTCTAGTTTCGTGACAATAACTTGTGTGTAAGTGTATGGATCTTTATGAAATTGTACAAAAAGGTTCCATATCACAAAGGGAAAGCTGGAATTGAGTTTGGGGGTAATTGCCCAAAAAGTTTAGGAATAAGGGGCCAAAAAGGGGCCAAAAATAAGCATTTTTCTAGTTTCCAGACAATAACTTGTGTTCAAGTGTATGGATCTCTCTGAAATTGTACTGCAAGGTACCATACCACAAAGGGAAGGCTGGGATTGATTTTGGGGGGAATTCTCTCAAAAGTTTAGTAATTAGGGGCCATAAAAGGGCAAAAAAACAAGCATTTTTCTAGTTTCAGGACAATAACTTGTGTGTAAGTGTATGGATCTTTATGAAATTGTACTGCAAGGTTCCATATCACAAAGGGAAAGCTGGGTTTGAGTTTGGGGTTAATTGCCCTAAATGTTTAGGAATTTGGGGCCAAAAAGGGGCCAAAAAACAAGCATTTTTCTAGTTTCCAGACAATAACTTGTGTTCAAGTGTATGGATCTCTCTGAAATTGTACTGCAAGGTACCATACCACGAAGGGAAGGCTGGGATTGAGTTTGGGGGTGATGAATCATAAGGGGGTTCAAAAAATTTGGGGGGGGGGGGGGGATTTTTTTTTCCTTTTTTTTTTTAAATTTTCCATTTTAAATTGGTTATTTCTGATTTATATATGAAAGCAAATAATAATGATATGGTTTGAATAGGTAAATTAAAAAATTTTAAGTTCTTAGACCACTTTCATTCTGTGTCAGAAACCTATGCTGTGTCAAATATTTAATTACAATCCAAATTCAGTGCTGTATCAAGCTTGAATGTTGTGTCCATACTTGCCCCAACTGTTCAGGGTTCGACCTCTGCGGTCGTATCAAGCTGGGCCCCAGCGGAGCATTTTATTTTAAGTGGAATGGAATGTTTTCAAAATTTCTGTGCAGAACACTGCATGCAGTCTAATGATGATCTTTAAGTTAATGTGGTCATTTATTGAAATACATTTAATTAATGGTTTACTGTATTCTTTAGTTTGATAGATTTTTGCCATCAGATACTGTAACTATAGCAACAGTATATGCACCAACCATGTTTCCTCCTGCCTCAGTTTTAGTGTTTAAAGAAACTTACTCAGGTATGAATTTATCCCATGATTCTTTTTTTTAAGATGAAAAAGGCAATATTTATAATTAATTAAATACTTAGAATTTGTATATAAAAAACATACCAACTGTTTGCATTTGAATGTACAAAAATACTTTGCAGTTTTGTGTAAAGGGAGATATAAGATATGATACACAACAATTCTATTCATTCATTTACAGTTTTTGCAACAACAAAAACAAAAACCCTAACGAACAACACAAAAAAACCACTGTGGTTGGATGTTAGTTTGAGGTTTACATAATATATACTGTGGTAATCAGGTGTATTTTGAATTTTGAATTATATATTCTATTTCAACAGGGGAACATGAACTGGTAGCTACTGGTTCTCTACATTCAGTCAACCCAAACAGAATTGTAACAAAAAGAACTGTCTTATCTGGATTACCATTTAAAATCAACAAGAGATCTGCAGTTGTCAGATTTATGTTTTTTAACCGAGGTAAGTGATGAGTAGCAATTATTAAAACATATTTGAGATGAGTAAATCTCAAGTGAGGTAGAGTATTAAGAATAGAAAATTAGGCATTTTCCAGCTGATGAATGCTTATGTAAGAGCATACAAAATCTAAATCTGAAAATCTAACCCAAAATCCATGGTCTTTTGTAATGACTTCTTGATAAACACACCTAATCAGAAAGTCTAACATTTCAACAGTATATGTAGCATGACTTGGGGATTCTGCTTAAAAACTTTAATCCACCAATGTTTATGCAACAACATTCAAAATATCAATGGTCTAGTTAAAATGGTTCTTTATAAACACAATCAGAAACCTTACATTTTAACAATGTAAAAAGCAAGTCTCTGAAACATGACTAAAAGATACTGTTAATTCAGAAACGATTGCGTGCAGAAAAATTGAACATTTGGACATGTATCTGTGGGACTGGACTCTCATATACCGGTACTGCTGAAGGCAACAGCATACCAGATATCAATGGACTATCATTAATGCTTGTTCATTAATATTGAGCTTAGAAAAAAAAAATGAAAATCTGAACTGTGTTAAAATTTTAGCCAACGAAGAAAGAGAAACACAAATGATAAATTTACAGTTATCCTGATTATGTGATTAAACAAATGTCAATCTTGCTTGTAAACAAATATTTCCTTGACATAACAGGCAGGATTTTTCTTCATTTGTCTCTATATAAATAGTGGAGTTATATTTGTGATTGCTGATGTTTCCCTAATCTTTTTTTTAAATTCTGTAAAACTTCACATTCTTTTTTTCTTTAAATTTGACCTCTAAGCTTGAAATTGATTTGGGTTCATGTTGTTGTCATGACCATTTATTGTGAAAGGCTTGATGTGCATTATGGATTATAGATTTACAGTTCATTCAGTGAAAGGTACGGTACATCTTGTATATAAGTTATTTACTAAATTTTAAAACATTTTATATTTCAGAGGACATAGATTGGTTTAAACCTGTAGAATTGAGAACTAAATGGGGGAAAAGAGGCCACATAAAAGAACCCTTAGGTAAATAATTTAACTATTCATTTTATAAATGTCTCAAGTGTAATGGTTAAATCAGTGTCAAAGAAGTCATTATTTCAAGTTTAATAGAAATGGTGTGGTCAAGGTGCCTGTAAGCCCTATTGCAAAGGCTGTTACTGTACTTTCCGCACTTAAATGTCAACTAATCTTATGTGAATGAATTAGGTAATCGCACACCTGTGGACCTCAAACACAAAGGAATTAATTACCCGAGAAAACTGTTGGGATATGTTTAAACCAAGCATATAATTCATTATAATGCTGAAAAGTCTTTTAGAGATGATAATACTCATAAATTGACGATTTTCAAGACAATAATCCGTTTCTAAACTAAAGCCGCCATCATTCGTATATGATCAGATAAACATGTGCCAATGATGAGGTGCAATGATGGGTGAGCAATAAGAAAGGATTTAAAACTAACACTCTAAATATACGTCCTTGTCATAATGTAGCCTGAATAATTCAGTCATTATACTCTACTTCTTGATAATTGAGACTTGAGTATGGATGATCAATGAAAGAAAATAAATTTAATCCGGTTAGCCATAATGCATAATTTTAATCGATTTCCCCTTAATGTGCCCCTACTCAAATAATCAAAAATATAGGTTGGTTCTGTGTGTAAACTATTCAGTATGTCTCAGGAGCTTGTCAAGTAGCGGATGGGAATAAGACCATCGAAAACTATACGTAACCATAGATTAGAAGTCTGACATAAATCAAAAATTATTTGGATGATTTGAGTAAGATTTAAAAAGCAGTTGTCTTTTTTATATTACATTCATGTTAAAGAAGCAGCAGAAAATATAGGTTGAATTTGCCACTGATATAAAAACTGTTTATTATTGTGATTTTAAAACCATGCATTCTTTTCTTTTTTCAGGTACTCATGGACATATGAAGTGTGTATTTGATGGACAGTTAAAATCACAGGACACTGTTTTAATGAACTTGTACAAACGGGTGTTCCCCAAATGGACTTACAACCCACATGTAAATTCCCCTCCTGTTATAAAAGAGTTCAGTCTTGATACCATGGAAACAGAAGAAGAGGAGGAAGAGGGCACCGCTTACCAAATGTTTGAATAAAATCTATTTTAATTGATTTATAGTTCTTCTATGTCATCTGTCCATCTTTTATTTTATTTCGTGGTTTCCAATTATTCTACATGTATTTGAATATCTGTATTTTAATTCATCTGGGCAAAAGGGATAGTGCTAGCTATTCTCATCACTGGGCATCCTTCATCTGTTGGCTGTTAACTTTTACAAAAAATTTCTTTGAAACTACTGGGTCAATTTGATTCAAATTTGGCCACAATCATCCTTGGGGTATCTAGTTTAAAAAAAGTCAAATGATCTCTTCTTACAAATCCAACATAACCACTCAAGGTTAAAAATATATACATGTAACATAGTGGTAAAGTGCAAGCATAGTATATTATCTTAAAATGAGTTATATATAGAGATAAATTTGCAGCGACAGCTAATTCAGAATATCAAGATATAGCAACTGTCCATTTTCAACGAAATTATCAGATGACTCCTTATTGGAGTTGTTGCCCTTAAGCATGCCAAGGTAACAGGTAGGTAAACGGATGATTTTATGAAATTTTGCATACAATTAGAGCATGAGGAACTGCACATGAACATCTAATATATATATAACTTTTCTTCTTTCTGAGATGTAGCGAATAAGATATCCGTAAAAAAAGTAGTAAAATGTATAGAATACACGTAAATATTGTAAAAAAGTACAATAATTTTGACTTAAAATTAACATTTCTCGAAATCCTGTCCTACGATTTTTCTTTAAAAATGATATGTTATTGTCACTGAAATTTCCATTTTATTCATATAAAATTTATAGGGGGTCACCAATTTGTTTTTTTGAGTATGAATAGTTGTCTTCAACGTGAAGCGCCGAAAAGGCAAAAATAGTTGTGACGTCATGGTAAGAAATAATTTTATCAATGGTTTTAGATATTCAGAGACACTTGCATTATTTATATAGCAAAAACGAATTTGGTGACCCCCTATAACTTTCATATCAATAAAACAGAAATTTTAAGTGACAATAACATTAATTTTAAAGAAAATTTCCAACTGATTTTTAGTTTGTTCTTGTGTTGTGCTGTAACATCCACTGTCCTAGGTTTGGAGAGGGTTTAGCACTCACAAACATGTTTTAACCAAACCCTGTTTTTTCTTGTCTATTTGGAAGTCAGGAGCAGCCCGTATTTCAGTGGTTGTCGATGGTTCATGTCTCATAATTGATTTCATAAATTGTAATGTATTAAAGAGGCCTTTAGTTTTCTATTTTGAAATGTTTCACATTTTCCATGTCATGGCCTTTTATAGCTGACTAATGTATTACTATTTCTCATTGTTGAATAATGTACAATGACTTATAATTTCTTTTGTCTTTGTCATTTGAACTCGTGTGGATAGTTATCTCATTGGCAGTCATACCACATCTCCTTATTTTTATATTTAAAAGGTAGACTGACACTTTGATATTTGAATAGGCATTTGTAAAGTGAAAGCAATATTTTCATCTGTGCGAGACTTCCTGTTTGCCAATTATTGAAATATTACAACAGTTATTGTACAAGGAACATTTTCATCAAAAGTTTCTTGGCTTCAATGAAAGGGAATGATAATTTATGCTTCCATATATGTTAGACTCAGATTGACATCTGGTTTCTAATCGACATCCACTCCTCAAATCAACGACCAAATCTGACATCGCATTCTCAAATCAGTGTCCAATATTTTTACCCTCTCATCAACGTCCAATGTGAAGTCATGTATTGCCAAAACAACGTCAAAACGATTGTAGTCTTCTCTAATCGATGTTCAATGTCAATAAATAATTTAATTTTGAATGTAACGCATCTTCTGATTGGCTGAAAGTTTTTTGTCTATCAGCCCTTAAACATAATTTTGTCATGTGACTGCGATGTCATTAACGTTTTTTCATTATTTACTCCTTAAAAATGGAATTTAGAATTAATTTATAAGGACTGACTTAATAATTTTTCTGTATTCGAAATAACCTCAAAAATGTGGTGCACACTTTTAAATAATTAACTACGAGGGTTATTCAGTGTACAGTCACTGTACACTACATTTTTAATTACACATATTACAGTTATTCCTTAAATAACAAATTACTGCACTTATACATGTACATGTATAAGACTTTGATTGATTTTGGATTATTCAAATACAAAATAAAAGATGAATTTTGGTCTGTTTTGTAGGGTTCTTATCTACCGTACTTGCCAGCAACTTGCTGCAATATTTTGCTGTAATTGGTCTTCATGTTGTTGTAGTTTTCGGTAATTTAATAGCACTGGCACATTGCTGACACTTAACTTTTTTTAAAAGAATTTTGACTGTTTCTCCTACAACAGATAAAACTGGTCCTTAGCGCTTCGTGGATTGTATCAGCTTTTCTGTGGTCTTTCTAATAGTTTTCTTTTATCATATTCATTAACTCAATTTTACTTATGCATCTTCTATGGTGAACATTTAAATCAACAGAAACATTGATTATTATCTTGGTCGTAAAAATATTGACTTCGAACAGTCTTCGCAACTCACTCGGACAATCCAAGTTTCAATTCTGTTATGATCTTTTTAGGTCCCCATTTGCAGTTTTGTTCCTTTGCTTTGGATATTTCAATATAATATGGCATGTCAGCCCAAAATGTCTCAGCGTTTGGATTTTTGCTTATTCCTTTTTCTCTCCAAAACATATCCTACATTAGGAACCGTGTCTGGTTCCATTGTTGAAGCCATCAATGACGGCATTTAATAAAGTTATGACGTCATTGCAGCCAGTCGATTAGAGAAGCCAAAAATTGGACGTCGATTTGAGAATTACAAAAAGACATCGATTAGATGACATAAAATTTGCCGTCGATTTGGAATCTTATTTTATTGTGACGTCAGATTTGGAAGTCGATTTGAGGAACGAACGTTGATTAGAGACTGGATGTCGTTCTGAGTCTTACATCTATATGGAACCTCAATCAATTACATGCAGAGACGCAGGTCCAGACCTGATATTTGTCTGAACACTGATTCAATGTCAGTACATTTAGACATCTACCCTATTTGTAAATATGTAAATATGTTTATTTTTTTAATTTTCGCACAAAATTATTTTTGGTAATTGCAATCATAAAATTGTTATCTCTTACTAAGTGTCTGTTTGCGATGCACCGACGTATAGTCATCAATGTGCTGATGGATTGTCGTACAATGTAGATGTATAAGTGTATAATAAAGCTTCAAATTTCAGAAGATAGAAGAGCTAGATAGTCTTTATCTGGTATGCAGATGCCTTATGGTCTTCCTTACATACTAAAAGAAATGGGTCAATTATATTTGGTGTATAGAATGTTAATAAGGTGTGTCTGTCCATCTGACAGAGTTCACCTGATCTTGACCTCATGTTCATGGTTCATTGGTCAATGTTAAGTTTTCTTGATTAGGTATTTTGCTACAATTAAGAGGTCAGTTATATTTGACGGATAGAATAATCATAAGTTGTAGATTTCTGCATGATATGTTTCTTTTGACTTAACCTAATTTTCATGGTTCATAGGTTCACTTAAGTTTTTGTGATTAGGTCTGTTTCTCAGATTTACTAAATAAAAGGCCAACTTTATTTGGTGTATAAGATAATTGTAAGGTGAATGTTGGGGGTATCTGACCTTGACTTTAATTAAATGGATCATTGATATTGTTTAGTTTCTGTTATACCTGTATTCAGACCTTCGTTTTAAAGACTTTCAACATAAAATTAAATTATGCAGGCAAGACATATCAGCTTGTGTACTCTTGTTTTTAATAAATTAAAACAATGAGTTCAAACTATGAGATTTATTACTATAGAAAAGTATTACATGTACCATCTTTTTACACCGAATTACCGCTTTATGACAATAAAACAACTATTAAATTTAGGACACTGATTGTCACAAGGAAGATAATTTCAATACAGCAGTGAATGACATCACAGTAGATTGTGAAATTTAATGATCAACAGTCAAATTCTAGGGGGAAGATGGATAAATGCTAGATAGCTCACCCCTATGAAGTTGAATACAGGTGATTGTAGCACATTTCATGTAATCATTAGACACTATTCCACCATTTATTGTCACTTGATAAACTCTATGACTGTTAAAAAATAATTAAGGCATAATTATTAACTATTTACATTTATTGGTTCTTGAAAGTATTTGTTACAGATCAAAACCAAGTGCTACAAGATGGTAAACTTACATCTCCTGTCTGCTTCCCATTTTGATTTTTATACTTCAAAGGCTCCCAGTTACCTATTTCAAACATGATTTATTAGCTCCAATCTTAAGTTAGCACTTCATACTCATAAAATAGATTTTTCATTGCAGACGGGATTAATAGAAGCAAAAACCAATAAAGAGCTGCGTCATGAGCGCATGATACGCCCGTCACTTTTTTACAGAATAAAGTTCAATAACTCCTCAATGTCATATCAGAAATTTATAAAAAACTAAACAGAGGTTAATTTAATAGAATTAAAGCAGTCACCAAAGTTTCATGAAAATTGCTCAAAGCATTTTTGAGTTATTGTCAGAAAACTGGAAAAAAAAAACTTTTTTTATGAATAAAATCCCATAACTCGGAAATGAAAAATCTAAAATCGATAAAAATAGAAAGGGAGCTCACGTCAATAGATATAAACAATTCACCAAAGTTTCATGCAAATTGGTTAAAGGGTTTTTGAGTTATTGTCCGACATGTTGATGACGGACAGACGTACAACGGTATATCATAATACGTCCCGTAAACGGGCGTATAATAATTATTTATTGATTTATTGTTCTCTTCTTTATGTCCAGTGGCAAATATTTTATGAATATTTAGGATTATAAAGAACTCAAAAAAACTTGACAGACTTTACATACATTATATTATCAAATTACATTCCTAAGCAGCCATGAACATAAAATAGCATTCTACAACTGATAACATTTTTGCCATATGCACAACATCGTTCTTCTTTATGTATAAAAATCTTTTTTAATATTCAAACTTCTTTTATTGCCCATTTTCATCACAGTTTCCTGGTATTTATTTCTCAGTTTACAATACATATCAAATGGCACTAAATCCTTCATATGACGGGTTACAAGAATTCATTGCCCAAGATTTGTAGAACAATTAATTCCATTTAGTTTCTTCATCCTTCTTTCATCTGATTTTCAAATATTTCCCTGATTAAGTTCATACTGTCTGCAAATCTAGACTCATTTTGAAATCCTGCTTCTCTCCATCTTAAAAAATAATGAGAAAAAAAACTGATTTAATTACTGCTGAAATTGTAATTAGATAAATTTATAGTGTTGTAACACTTCAGAATAAAACAAATTTTAAAAATGTTCACAGCCATATATTTTCTTTTGTGACTTGGCAGATGTTCTGAAGAAAAAACATTACCAGGTAAAAATATGTGTATCTAAAAACATCATATATACCACCAATACAAAGGTGATTCAGGATTTTTCTAGATGCAAAATGGTGATCAGGATTCAGGACTCCAGGAGTATTTTATTAATAATTAAAAATCAGGATAACCTACATGATCATAATTAGTTGTATAGCTTTAAGTTCAAAACTAGAGGCTACTAAACAAATTTGTATCCTGATAGGTTGGAAGAGTTAAACAGTGTTGTACAAGTGGGAATACAAGGACTTTTATTTATGCAGATGAGTTTTTCTGGTTTCCAATTTACACAAAATTGACTTGCAAAATCTTGTTTTTATACGACCGCAAAAAAATTTTTGTGGTCGTATATTGGTATGACGTTGGCGTCGTCGTCCGAAGACACAGTAGTTTTCCCACTCTAACTTTAGTTTAAGTGAATGGATCTCAATGAAATTTTACCAGAAGGTTCAATACCACAAAAGGAAGGAGGTGGGGATTGATTTTGGGGGTTATGGTACCAACAGTTAAGGAATTAGGGGCCAAAAAGGGGCCAAAAATAAGCATTTTTGTAACTTCCAGACATAACTTGTGTGTAATTGTATGGATCTCTCTGACATTGTACCACAAGGTTCCATATCACAAAGGGAATGCTGGGATTGATTTTGGGGGTAATTGCCTCCAAATTTTAGGAATAAGGGGCCAAAAAGGGGCAAAAAATAAGCATTTTTCTAGTTTCATGACAATAACTTGTGTGTAAGTCTATGGATCTCTCTGACATTGTATCACAAGGTTCCATATCACAAAGGGAATGCTGGGATTGATTTTGGGGTAATTGCCTCCAAATTTTAGGAATTAGGGGCCAAAAAGGGGCAAAAAACAAGCATTTTTCTAGTTTCATGACAATAACTTGTGTGTAAGTATATGGATCTTTATGAAATTGTACTACAAGGTTCTATATCACAAAGGGAAAGCTGGAATTGAGTTTGGGGGTAATTGCCCAAAAAGTTTAGGAATAAGGGGCCAAAAAGGGGCAAAAAATAAGCATTTTTCTAGTTTCCAGATAATAACTTGTGTTCAAGTGTATGGATCTCTCTGAAATTGTACTGCAAGGTACCATACTATAAAGGGAAGGCTGGGATTGATTTTGGGGGTAATTCCCTCAAAATATAAGTAATTAGGGGCCATAAAAGGGCAAAAAAACAAGCATTTTTATTAGTTTCAGGACAATAACTTGTGTGTAAGTGTATGGATCTTTATGAAATTGTACTGCAAGGTTCCATATCACAAAGGGAAAGCTGGGTTTGAGATTGGGGGTAATTGCCCTAAACGTTTAGGAATTTGGGGCCAAAAAGGGGCCAAAAAACAAGCATTTTTCTAGTTTCCAGACAATAACTTGTGTTCAAGAGTATGGATCTCTCTGAAATTGTACTGCAAGGTACCATACCACAAAGGGAAGGCTGGGATTGAGTTTGGGGGTGATGAATCAAAAGGGGGTTCAAAAAATTTGGGGGGGGGGGATTTTTTTTTCCTTTTTTTTCTTTAAAATTTTCCATTTTAAATTGGTTATTTCTGATTTATATATAAAAGCAAATAAAAATGATATGGTTTGAATAGGTAAATTAAAATTTTTTAAGTTCTTAGACCACATTCATTCTGTGTCAGAAAACTATGCTGTGTCAAATATTTAATTACAATCCAAAGTCAGTGCTGTATCAAGTTTGAATGTTGTGTCCATACTTGCCCCAACTGTTCAGGGTTCGACCTCTGCGGTCGTATCAAGCTGCGCCGCAGCGGAGCATTTTATTAAATTTCCTTTCAAAACAATTTTAACAGTATCATTATATAAGTATGGACTATACATTTCTGCATATTGAACAGTCTGTAAATGTAAAATCTCTACAGTGAATATCGAAATAGAACAAAATAGAACAGAATTGATTCATAGCGTGTGCAGTTAAAAGATTTGTGTAAATTGGAGGAAACTGCTAGACATATACATTTTATAACTGTGTCAAAAACAATCTTTTGGTTGTTTGTGTCTTTGCAATGCCGTCCTATTGGTGTATTCCTACTTCTCCCGTAATTTTAATTAAAATTCCATTTTATGTTATTCATTATTTGGTTCTTGATGACAACCCAACTATACAAAACCATGAAATAGATTTATAGTATTAATATTTATTTGTCCTGTTGCTCCATAAATATCATATTTTTGAAGGATTTTGAAAAATAAATCAATAAGATAGAGCCACTGATAATAATACCTTATTCTAACTTCTTTCCATCTGGACATGTGTCCTAGTAGTAACTGTTCAGGTGGTGGTGCAGAGTCTGGATCCTGAAAAAATAAAGTGTGGACAGCTTACAGTTATTTTAGCACTGATGTTCATAGCCAGTTGTACTTCAATGCCATTTTCCATTAATTTCAAAGGACCAAGCTAGTAGGAAAATAGTTGTTTCATTTATTAAAACTTTAAGAACTGAAAAGGCAATGTTAAAAAAATTATTAATGAATCATATAGGAAAAAAAAGAAAAAAATAATATTTAATCTTAACATATTTCTAGAATTTTCTTTTACGTTTGTACATCCTATCTCAATGACAAAAAGTCTTTTCAGGCCAACTTAAGTTAAAGCGATGGTTAAGCTTTAGGTGCAAGTGGTATGTCAGATTTTACACGGCACACTATTTTATGATGATACACCAACATGCTAAATATCATTCCACTACAACAAAGTTCTGGCCCTCAGTGCTGGTATAGGGTGGACAAAAAAAATTAGTTATAATTACTTACTGCATTTATATCTAATGGTGCATCTGTGTTTGGTAATGGTTCTGGTATTCTATAGTCTCTTGTATCATCTGGTTCGGCTTTTATTGGCTTTGGCATCTTGTACACATTTGGAATGCCATCTATCTTTAAATAAAGGAAATAAATCTATCATTCAACAAAGGAAATCAATCTATCTTTAAACAAAGGAAATCTATCTATTTAAACATATTTGTAAACCAAAATAACATTGATTTAACTTCATGTTTTAACTATATATCATCTGCTACGTAAATTTTCATTGGATGTTACAGTTTCTGCTACTTCAAAAAAAATGGATCAGACTCAAAATTCAAGGTTCCACAAAATATTGTTTTTTTAAAATAGAGAAAATATACATAATGAACATTGAAATATATGTAAATATAAAATATAAATGAAAAATAAGTAAGTTCCAATGTCTGGAAAAATCCTTTAACAATTCCTTACTAGCAGGTAACAGCTACAATATATGTACAATCTTTCTTTGAAGTTTCAATGATCTGGCTTGAAAGCTAAAGGAGGAGTCAATTACACAAAATAAGAACATACTTTCCACTACCCGCCTGCCCTAACACTCAACATCAGCATACCATAACCCAATTTTGAACTTCAGTAAAAAAAAATAAAATAAATGGAGAATGTGTCCCCATGGACACAGATGATGCCCCCGCTTGCATACAACATTATAAAGGGACATAACTCAAGAACAATAAAAGTTACGCTACCCAAATTTGTACTTGATCTTAGTTTTGTGGTAATAAGTATTGTGTATAGGTTTCATGTTTGGTTGGGGCAAACTTAAGCTACAGAACGGAAACTAAAATTTTGCAATTTTTCGATTTATAAAGGAGCATAACTCAATAATGGTTAAAGTGACACTACCCAATTTCAACTTGATCTGTGTTTTATCAGGGGAAGGCAAAATTAAACATTGCATTGTATAAAGCATTGATTGAAATTGATTCAACTATAATCATGGACAAAGGAAGATAACTCCATTTTAAAAATTACTTGAACAATGACATCATTGATATTTTTAGAAAAAAAATGAAAAATTTAGCAATTTTTCCATTTGTAAAGGGGCATAACTCTAGAACAGTAAAAGTGACGCCACCAAATTCAAACTTGATCTGTGTATTGTGGTAATAAGCATTGTGTATAAGTTTCATAACATTTGGTTGAGGCAAAATTAAGTTAGACAACGGAAATGAGAAATGTTGCAATTTTTCCATTTATAAAAGGGCATAACTCTAGAACGGTTAAAGTGACGCCACCAAAATTCAAACTTGATCTGTGTTTTGTGGTAATAAGCATTGTGTATAAGTTTCATAAGATTTGGTTGAGGCAAACTTAAGTTAGAGAACGGAAACCAAATTTGGGACGTACGGACAGACGGACAAGGGTAAAACTTAATGCCTCCTCCGCTTCAGCGGGGCATAAAAACGTGTAGATGTGGTGATAAAATATGAATGTCTCCATCACAGCAAATATAGTGTGAAATTAATTGTGGACGAATATTGCTTAAAGTCTGAAAAACAATAAAATCTATTGAAAGTAGGTTAACTGAAAAAGAATAAATATTTATCTGCAATGCCTAGTTATACCGTTGCATACCATAGTCAGCTCAATATTGTCAGGCACTGCAAAAAAATATGAAAACTCCATTTTCAAGCTGTTTTCTAGTTTCAAGGACTATAACTTTGTCAAAAGTAAAACAAATGTAAATTCAAAGAGTAACAGATCAATATGAAGTATATACAAAATAACAAATAAGAATTTTTGTTTTTGTTGTTTCATTACAATGTTTATAAAAGCTAATGGACAAAGACCACAAAATAAAGATGAAAAAATTATAAACATATGCTCTACAACATTTTCAATGTACCTCTTCGTCACTGTGAGCCTCGTGTTCTGGAGATGATGACTTGTCTTTATCCATGGTATCTCTGTCGTACGGACGATTCTTTAACCACGATCGACAGATGGGGTACAATGGTGAATCTTCATCAAACTGGGCAAGATCTACACTTCTGTCAAATAACTTCATTATGTACTGATCTGTAAAAAAAATAATATGCATTACCTACTACATAATAATTGTGTTTAATATATACTTTACAGGCATTTATAATTTTGTTTCTTCGACCAAGCATACTTTGAAATGTGAAAAAAGATATATAATTGTCAGAATTATAGAAACAATTAAATACATGAAATTTCTTTGAGTATTAAAAACTGTTTCTTTAATCACCAATACTTAAATTTCAACAAACAAGGAGTAAAGAATGCTGAAATATTTTACTGTTTTTTGTTCCATTAGAGGAACTGATGTTTAATTAAGTTTTTGTTATTTATTATTGACATCAATTTTTGTTTTGTTTCATGAATCATGTTCTTGGTTTTAATTTTGCTAAATATTTAATCTAAAATTCACCATGGCCAGATGTGTTACAGTATTACCCCTCAGTTGAATTTAAGATGTTTAACCATATTTGGAAATGATTTTGTGAGTCCTTCAATCGACCAATCAATTTGTTCATACAACAACTTCAAATATAACTTTTAACTTACGATGAACCTGCCCATCACTGTAATCAAAATCCTCTTTTCTTTTACGTTTTCTAGCTGATCTGTTTGCCGCTCGTTTACTTGGTGACACAACTGGTGATGAAACACTGTAAAAAATAAAAACAACATGTTATACATTATTATTATGTTATTCTGAACTGTAAAAGTATGAACAATTGAATACAAACTAAAAAGCAGCAAATAAAAAATTGAAGCATCAGATTAAACCATACATTACTAATATAAAAATATAGTAACAAACAATACTGAGGATTTATCATTATTCCTGGGGTTTGTTTATTTGTTTTTTTAATTGGTAAAGAATCATCACAAAGAGTTCAAAATGCAAATTTCTTATAGACTTGTTTGCAGAATATGTTAAACCAGGAGACTGATTATTCACAAAAAAAAAACAATTTTTCATCAATCCATGTGACTTGGTATTAGGATGCAACTCAAGGAGTATTGCAGTGTCCAAGAAAAATAGGCCACATTCACAATTTTATGCTTTTCTGACTTACAGTTTTATGTCAGATTTATTATGTTAAATGACTCAAACTTACCTTGTAGCTAGTTCTGACTGGGATATTTCATCTTCACTTGAGACATGCCTATAAAAAAAAAATAATGGTATGTACATTATTTTACATAAGCTTTATGTTATTCTGTATTGATCAGACAGATAAAAGAAAACAAGAGGCTCTCAAGAGCCTGAATCGCTCACCTGTAATTTTTTGCTTAAATCTTTCATCAATGATTATTTTTGCTTTTCAATATATATTAATGAGTGGCTTAAAAACGCCATTTAAATGTTCCTTGTATCTGTCATATTTTCTTTAAAAGCAAAAAATGCATTTTACCCCTATGTTCCATTTTATCCATAGTCAGATAGTGGCTATGTTTCTTGACGTACAAGGAAATAAAATACAAAATTTATACTAGATACTCTGAAACTCATTCAGCCCAAGTTTGGCTGAAATTGATTCAGCAGTTTCAAAGGAGAAGATTTTTTAAAGGAAGCAAACTAGATTAACAAATTGTGAAAAATTGTCTTTAAATGGCAATAACTCCTTAAGGGGTCAATTGACAATTTTGGTCATATCAATCTTATTTGTAGATCTTACTTTGCTGAACATTTTTGCTGTTTACAGTTGATCTTTTTATCTATAATAATATTCAAGATAATAACCGAAAACTGCAAAATTTCCTTAAAATCATCAATTCAGGGGCAATAACCTAAAAATCAGATACCCAATTTGGCTGATAATTTCAGGGCTGATAGAACTTGACCTAATGAACATTTTTACCCCATGTCAGATTTGCTCTAAATGCTTTACTTTTTGAGATTAAGTCAAAATCTGCATTTTACCCCTATGTTTTATTTTTAGCCATAGCAGCCATGTTTTTTGAAGAAACAGAAAATAAAACACAAACTTTATTCTAGATACCCTAAGGATTATTCAGCTTAAGTTTGGTTGGAATTGGTTCAGCAGTTTCAGAGAAGATGTTTGAAATAGTTTACATCGGACGGACGAAGACAACGGACGCCAAGTGATGGCAAAAGCTCACATTTCCTTTGGAAAGGTGAGCTAAAAACAATTTAAATCTAAAATTTTAAATATACTTGCTCTCTTCACTTTCAAACAAAGCTCTTTAGAAGGCTGATCACGCAGAAAAAATTATGAGGTCTACTTGCATTTTACTTGTTTGTCAGTTTAAAGCCAGCAGTGTTGGAAATTCAAGAACAAGAGGTTCTTAAGAGCCTGTGTGCCTAACCTGGATCTATGTGCATATTCAACAATGGCCACTCTACAATATTATGGACAAGAATGTATTCCATGACTTAAATCCTTTTTTATACAACCGCAAAAATTTTTGCGGTCGTATATTGGTATGATGTTGGCGTCGTCGTCTGAAGACACATTGGTTTTCGCACTATAACTTTAGTTTAAGTGAATGGATCTCTATGAAATTTTACCATAAGGTTAAATAACACAAAAGGAAGGCTGGGATTGATTTTGGGGGTTATGGTACCAACAGTAAAGGAATTAAAGAACCTTAGTGAGCGCGCTCACATACCCCACGTCCCCACATTGTCATTGGAGAAATAAAATATGTGTAAGAAAAAAAAATTGTATAAGAAAAAAAAATTGAATCATAATTTCCTGTCAATATGCACATGTACATAGTATGTCCTTATTATCTACAAAGTTTCATGAAATTATGTTGTGTGGTTTCAGAGGAGTTGCGATGACAAACTGTTGCAGAAGTACATTGAAGCAAATAAGTTCAAAGGGGCGTAACTCCTAGAAAAAAAATTGAATCATAATTTCCTGTCGATATGCACATCTACATAGTATGTCCTTATTATCTACAAAGTTTCATGAAATTTTGTTGTGTGGTTTCAGAGGAGTTGCGATGACAAACTGTTGCAGTAGTACATTGAAGCAAATAAGTTCAAAGGGGCGTAACTCCTAGAAAAAAAATTGAATCATAATTTTCTGTCGATATGCACATCTACATAGTATTATATGTACTTATTATCTAAAAAGGTTTCATGAAATTCTGTTGTGTGGTATCAGAGGAGTAACAATGACAAACTGTTGCAGTAGTACATTGAAGCAAATAAGTTCAAAGGGGCGTAACTCCTAGAAAAAAAATTGAACCGTAATTTCCTGTCGATATCGCATCTACATAGTATGTCCTTATTATCTAAAAAGGTTTCATGAAATTATGTTGTGTGGTATCAGAGGAGTTGCGATGACAAACTGTTGCAGTAGTACATTGAAGCAAATAAGTTCAAAGGGGCGTAACTCCTAGAAAAAAAATTGAATCGCAATTTCCTGTCGATATGCACAACAACACAGTATGTCCTTATTATCTAAAAAGGTTTCGTGAAATTCTGTTGTGTGGTTTGAAAGGAGTTGCGTGGGGTATAATTAGGGGCCAAAAAGGGGCCAAAAATAAGCATTTTCTAGTTTCCAGACAATAACTTGTGGAACGATGTATGGATCTCTCTGAAATTATACCACAAGTTTCCATACCACAAAGGGATGGTTAGGATTTGCTTAGGGGGGTTATGGCTCAAATCGTTTTGGAATTAGGGGCAAAAAAGGGGGGAAAACAAGGTTGTCCTGGTTTATGGACAAATACTTTAGTACAAAACATAATTTAAATCAGTGTAAGGGAGATAAATCAAATACATCATTTGAATTACCTCCCTTACACTGCTTTCAATTATGTATAAAGAAATGCATATTTGTAAAGGAAGACCAGTAAAAATATCTGCAAATGTTGCATCTTTTAAAAAAAAAAAAAAAAAATCCATATGAAAGATTTGACACCATATTTTAAATTCTATTATAAAATAGATTAAGTTAGCACTATGGTAAATTTAAATTGGTAATTATGGTTGCAAATTCCATTGGAAATTTGAATTGAGATTATGACCATATCTTGAGGGAAAGAATTTTTTGGGGGAAAAGGGGGGGGGGGGGGGTAGGGGTAAAAAGAAACTGTGGGGGTCAATTTTTTCTCAATTCAGATCTCAGAAATTAAAAAGAATTATTCTTCAAATTTTTTTCAAATTTCAAATGTATTGAAAAATTTCAAGAAGTAATCTTTAATTGCACAGTATGGCGCATTAGATTTGTAAAATCTTTGACCATATTTATTTCATTGTTATGCCGAATCTGACAGTGTATTTAGATTTTTAATTTTGGGTCCAGTTTTCAAATTGGTCTACATTAAGGTCCAAAGGGTCCAAAATTAAAGTTAGTTTGATTTTAACAAAAATTGAATATATGGGGTTCTTTGATATGCTGAATCTAAACATGTATTTAGATTTTTGATTTTTGGCCCAGTTTTCAAGTTGGTCCAAATTGGGGATCAAAATTAAACTTTGTTTGATCTCAACAAAAATTGAATATATGGGGTTCTTTGATATGCTGAATCTAACCATGTATTTAGATTTTATATTTGTGGGCCCCGCTATCAAATTGGTTCATATTGAGATCAAAAGGGTCCAAAATTAAACTTTGTTTGATTTCATCAAAAATTGAATTATTGGGGTTCTTTGATATGCCAAATCTAACCGTGTATTTAGATTTTTAATTTTGGGTCCTGTTTTTTAAATTGGTCTACATTAAGGTCCAAAGGGTCCAAAATTAAACTTTGTTTGATTTTATCAAAAATTGAATTCTTTGGATTCTTTGATATGCTGAATCTAACCATGTGTTTAGATTTTGGATATTGGACCATAATAGGTAAATTAAAAATTTTTAAGTTCTTAGACCACATTCATTCTGTGTCAGAAACCTATGCTGTGTCAAATATTTAATAACAATCCAAATTCAGAGCTGTATCAAGCTTGAATATTGTGTCCATACTCGCCCCAACTGTTCAGGGTTCGACCTCTGCGGTCGTATCAAGCTGCACCCAGCGGAGCATTTTATTATTATTTTTTATTGCTGTTTACATTTTCTCTCCAGTCCATCTACTATAGTTTTTGCCCACAATGCAAGAAATGGGTAAATAAAAATTGTCATTTAAGGGCAATAACTCCTACAAGTATAAGGAGAGGCCTGACAATTTTGTCTATATGTAGACTTGTTTGTCGATCTTATCTTGCTGACATATCATTTTTGCTGTTTAAATATTCTCTCTACCTTCATTGTATTAAAGTGTTTGCCCAAAATGCAAAAATTGGTAAAAATCGTCATTAAAAGGCAATAACTCCTGTAAGGGCCTGTTGAGCTTAAGACAAAGAGGCCACTTTATCATGTTTATTTGGGTTGCCAGACATGCATTTTATAAAAGAAATCAATGGTACTCAACGAAAGCCATTAAGAAACAATATGAATAAGTCAAACTTCAGTAGATCTGATAACAACATTGTACTGTACATGTACATGTATACTTATTAAGTTTAAAATCACTCTTGCTGGTCAGGTGTTAGTGATCATGAATCACTATAAAATAAGATAACTACTGGAAGAGATGATAACATTCTAATTTCACCCTTGCTGGTGTTAGTGAATCACTGTAAAACAACATGACTGCTTGAAGGGATGATAACATTCTAATTTCACCCTTGCTAGTGTTAGTGAATCACTGTAAAATAACATGACTGCTTGAAGGGATGATAACATTCTAATTTCACCCTTGCTAGTGTTAGTGAATCACTGTAAAACAACATGACTGCTTGAAGGGATGATAACATTCCAAATTATGGCCTGACATACAATAGTTGCTAAATATACAGAAACATATTTTCGAGTAAATCACTCACAATTACCAGCATCCATTTGAAGATTGATCAATATAATTAAATTTGAGTTGTTGTATTAAATGTCAGTGATTTTTAAATGAATATCCTTTTGAGTGTTTTGGCTACAAAAAAATCACTGTTATGACTGTATTGGCAGTTGTGTATAAGCTATTGACTATACAAATACATTGTATAAAGGTAATAATGTCATTTAAGTTGATTTATAAATGTGACACCCAAGCTTAACCTGTACAATGTACAAGGCAACTGCAGATTTAGTTTCAACCATTTTAAGATTGATTTATATGATTAAATTTGTAGCAGCAGTATTTATGTGTATAATCACTTATTGTATACTGGTGTATCGAAATTCACGTCCAAAATTTTTCATTAAACATTTTCTTCAATTCTCTTATAGGCAGGCAGCAGTATAACTGAGATATTGCAGACACCACCAATAACCGTCACAATTTTATCAACTGATCTTTTTGCTGAAAATCTAGTTAAGGCAAGTAATAAAATAATACTTAAATTACCCCTCATCTTTTTTATCAACCATTAACTGTAATGTCGCATCCAATCTACTTCTTGCAGAGCTCACCTCTGCAACACCTACAATAAAAGAAGACATTAATTTGTATCCCACTTTAATACCTTTATGGAAATTCTTTGAGATGGAAAGTTACATCTAAATGTATCATGCAGTAAAATCCATCATTACCATATACCGGGTAAGTTAAGTGATGTATGAGCAGACTTCTTGAAAAGTGTAAGTTTGAATCACTTGACCAATAAAAGTTTGAAATGTTGTAACATTGTCAGTTCAATTATCATCTGACATATGTTATTACTATGTCATTTCAAATGTCTGACACAATTTAGTGAATACTTCAATAGAATTAAAGGACTGGACTGAAGCATTTTTTTTTACTGAAAAATTTTCAAACAGTATATCAGTCCAAATGTCCTAGATGAAAAAAATTATTTTCAAAAAAGTCTGTACATGTCCGAGTATTCAAAAAATGTACAAACCTTCAAAGTTTTACATGTACACAAACACTTGATTAGTGGCATCATCAAACATTTGTTTCCACAATAAAATTATTGTCACTGCATTGTTAAGCTCTTATACTGCATTTGATTCCCTCCTTGGTGAGTCTAGGTTTTTACAGGATATAGCTGGTGCTAACTCCTATGTCACCTTGTAGAGTCTAGAGAAATGCTACTGTGGTGACATTTTTGATAGTTGGAAGTTCCAATTCCTATATATTATATGCATTCTTACAGTGATAGAACAAGTAATACTGTGAGCTACTGCTCACTGATGATACCCAGCCTAAATATTTCAGTAAACAGGAAGTGGTTGAGTGATGAATCTGAAAACGCATCACACAGTATAGCTGAATTATATAAACCATGAAACCAAATTTCAGAAATCCTTGTCAAGTAGTTCCTGAGAAAAATGTGACGAAAATTTTCAACTTGGCTATCATGTGTAAAATAATACATTTGTACAAGTGTTCGGTAAACAGGAAGTTGTTGAGTGATGAGTCTGAAAAAACATCACATGGTGTAACTTACTTATATAAACTCTGAAACCAAATTTCAGAAATTCTTGTCAAGTAGTTCCTGAGAAAAATGCGAAGAAAATATTCATGGGATGGATGGATGGACTGACGGAAGGACAGACAGAGGTAAAACAGTATACCCCCACTTTTTTAAAGCGGGGGTATAAAAATGATAGAAGCATAGATGACAACCGTTTTTGTTGAAATCTGTCAAAAAAGTATTGAGATTTCTGACTATCAGTAAATGCCTCAGCAGTTGATGTTGGTACTGTGAATTCATTATTATTCGTTGGATACCAATTTTCATGGATTTCGAGGGTACAGGTGAACTACAAATTCAAATGTTCAACAAATTGCATATTTTCTATAGGTTTGTATGCAGACTTCGACAAAACCACGAAATCACATATCCACCAAAATACAGGCATTTCTCAATCCATGAAAATTGGTACCCACGAAAATAAATGAATCTCCATTAATGCATTTTATTTATTTACTATAAAATTTTTGACTAGATGTTCTTATTCTTTAGTCCTACTTTTGGACAAACCGAGAATTCTCTAATATTCTGGGGGAAATTTTGATGCTGGTAATCCATTGAACTCATATTCTGGCTCTATATTATTTACATCAATACCAGTTTCTTTCTTCATATTGTCAACCTGGTGTGTGTAACAACAGTAGTTTTGCAAATTCTACTCATTTCAAGCACACCTTTTGTACATCAGGATAAAACAACACAATCATATGGAGATAATAGTTTTATACTTTCAATTTAAAAAACTTTCAACTGGTACCATTGTAAACTTGTACCACTGCGAAGTCGTACCATTGCGAACTCATACCACTGCAAACTCGTTCCATTAAAAATATACACTATATATACAAGGTTTTGGCAAATCTTTATAAAATATTAATTGATTTTCCTGACTTTTAATATTAAATTTTAGATTGAAAAAATATACAATATACGAATGTTTTATGAATTGTTTTTTGCAAATCTTTATAAATTTTTTTTTGAATTTCTTAATTTTATTTTAATTCTGTATCATTGCTTTACCTATCTAATTAATAAATGCAATTCATTTGATCTGCTACAGTTTTCTTCATCCAATTGTAATAGACTTGGGGAATAGCTCTGGTAGCAATGATGGAGGCGATTATATGCAGACAGATAAAAACACATCTGCTTCCATTTTCTACATTTTAATCAGACAAAGATGGTGTCACAAACAAAATTACAAAATACTGGTAAAAGGGGAACAACTCTCTCTTACACACAGAAACATACACACTGATATATAACATCCCACCCACAAAACAAAAAATTTACTTAATTTTTACAATGGTCAATATGTTTATGTGTTAAAAAAAATACAATTTATAATTATTTCCAAAATTGAAAGTTTACATGAATCAAGTTAATATCTCAACACTCTAGTAACCATTTTAAAACACACGCATCAACGCTGCAAAACCGAAAGTCTGGCATCTCGGCCTCCTCCCTCGGATGACCTTATGCACACATTACTTTCACACAAACACTTACATTGACTTACAGTGATACACACATATTAATGGCATTTTCTACTAGACAAAATGATATCATTATATTATTAATAGCTGAATAAAAATTTGATAGAATCATCAGAGACCTTTAACTCTTAAATTAAAGGTTTTATTTATGATAAATATCACACCGCTAAATGAATAACACATTCACATCAGCTTAAAATCAAAGTAAACAACATATTTAAATGTTCTCCTATGGGATACATTTATCATCTTTTCTTTAAAATCAGTCTTCTTGAGAATCTTCAAATCCATGGCGATATTCCTCGATCTCTTAATTCAATTACGTTTTATAAGAGTCAAAATAAATAAGGCGGAATGAAACACAACAGCAATACAGTCACATAATGCAATTATATACATCACACATGTGAAAATACAGTTCAACAGATACATCTGGGGCAACATCAATAAACAAAGATTGTTACAGTAAAAATGTATCTTCTGATGAAATCGGAACTTTAGTATGCATGGCGATACAATTATCACTGATACAAATTGAATAATGTCAAATTAATAAGTCATTTTAAAAATAGCATACATGTATATATAAACAGGATCTAAATGTTAACAGAAATAAAATGTATGATGCAATGAGATGAATCTCACATGCTTCGGGTTTAAAACGGGATGCATGCAGTTGACATTAATCAATAAATCACAAAGACAATACATGTGACGAGACATGGTCTGTTCTTCTTTCCAAAAATCCAAGAATTAAACTTTTGTGCAATGATCATAATTATTCATAAACGTTCAGCTAAATTTCAAAAACAATAAAAGTGTTCAGCATCATGGCAGCATGTCAGGATCCATCAGAAACGGTCGGTTAACTTCACAAGTAAAAATGTCCAAATCCGTAGAAAAAAAAACTACAAAAAATGTATAATTTGTTATCCATTGATGGTTTAGGGTCTCCACCGTGTAACAGACTTGGGGAATAGCTCTGGTAGCAAGGATGGAGCCTTGGAGGCGATTATATGCAGACAGATAAAAACACATCTGCTTTCATTTTCTACATTTTAATCAGACCTAGACAAAGATGACGTCACAAACAAAAATACAAAAAACTGGTAAAAGGGGAACAACTATCTCTTATACACAGAAACATACTCTGACCATACACACTGATATATAACACAATTAGCCATCGAACAATCAGTTACAAATTGGTCATTGTGATTTCAAATTATATACTTTTTACAGACTTATGAGTTATTTTATATAGTGAAATTTAAAAATATATTCATCATTTAACCTGGGACTATTATACTAACAATGACTTATGTTATGTTAACTAGTATAATAGTCCCATTTAACACCATTTGAATGGATTTAAATAAGTTGGTACGAGTTTGCAATGGTACGAATTTACCGTGGTGCGAGTTAGCAGTGCCTGTGGTACGAGTTTGCAATGGTACGAGATAGACATATAGCTTTATTTAGAGTCGGTATGTGCAAATACAAGATGGGGGGGGGGGGGGGGGGGGGGGGGGGGGGGGGGGGGGGGGGGCCAGGAGGATTTTGAAAATAAATAACTCAGCCTTGATAATCACAAAAATAAATGGTTTGTTCTGTGGTAGTTTGAAAATAAATAACCTGACTTGCAATGTATTAAAAATAAATAACTCGGCAGGTCTATTTGAGAGCATGAGATTGCACCAGATTCTTCATAAAATTCAACTTTTTTTTCAAAAAAAATCGGGAATCACTTCCCAAATCTTTGAATAATAAAAGTATAAATATTATTTAAAATACTTGAAATGTCTGAAAAATGGGTTTCATTTAACTTGAGGTATATTGTCTCAGGAACACTTAACTCACTTTTATTACATATGCCAGTAACTACATTCAGGCAAATGCCTCATGTAGGAAATTTCAAAACCAAAAGCTTGTCTTCATATCAAATTGTTTTCACGGCAAGTGTCTTGCAAGAAGCAAGTTCTGTTCTCCCTCAGACGTAGCTCCTGTTTTTTGGGGATCAATGTTTCTTATTTATTTGTCTTTTGTTCATTGATTGCCCTTCTGTATTCTGTTAGTGTTGCATTCCTTTTGTAATTTAGTGATTTTGTTATTAACTTGATCAAGAGTTTAAAAAAAAAACAGCAGCCACATACTTAACTATGTGAATTAAATTTTTGCTTTATCTTTGTCTTTTGATGTTGTTCCTAAAAACTCCTAAAAAAGTCTTACACTGAATCTATACATGTTGCTTTGAGACCAAAATATTGTCAAAAAATGATTAAAACAGAACTTTCATTTTCAGATTAAGAAAGGGTATGGGAAACACATTTTGCATCATTAGTTCTATAGCAACTTGGGGCCTTCAGCGGCTCCAAAACCCTTCAAATTTTTTTTAGCCTCGCTCCGCTCGGCATATATGATTTGTAATACTTTTAAAAGACACTAATTACAGCCAAACTTTAAAATCTTGTATGTATGCAATACATGTATATGCAGTTGGGAATTCAGAAGATTCATTTCTACAGATGATGATGATTAATTCTGATTAAATGGTACATAATGATTGGACTATTCATGTATTATTTATAATAAAAAATGAATTTAAAAATTGTATGTTTTCAAATATTATAAATATAGTTGTGAAAATAAATAATCAGTCCCTTGCTTTAATGAAAATGAAAAATCTTGCTTCAACAGTGCAGAAAATAGATAATCTGTCCTCTTAGTTTACAAAAATAAATAACCGATCAAAAACAAATCCTCCTGGCCCCCCCCCAGAATATCAAATGGTCGTCCCCTTAGTAAAAGATAACAATTTTATGATTGCAATTACCAAAAATAATTTTGTGCAAAAATTAAAAAAATTTACATATTTACAAATAGGGTAGATGTCTAAATGTACTGACATTGAATCAGTGTTCAGACAAATATCAGGTCTGGACCTGCGTCTCTGTATTGTAATTGATTGAGGTTCCATATAGATGTAAGACTCGGAACGACATCCAGTCTCTAATCAACGTTCGTTCCTCAAATCGACTTCCAAATCTGACGTCACAGTAAAATAAGATTCCAAATCGACGGTAAATTTTATGTCATCTAATCAATGTCTTTTTGTAATTCTCAAATCGACGTCCAATTTTTGGCTTCTCTAATCGACTGGCTGCAATGACGTCATAACTTTATTAAATGCCGTCATTGATGGCTTCAACAATGGAACCAGACACGGTTCCTAATGTAGGATATGTTTTGGAGAGAAAAAGGAAAAAAGGAATAAGCAAAGATCCAAACGCTGAGACATTTTGGGCTGACATGCCATATTATATTGAAATATCCAAAGCAAAGGAACAAAACTGCAAATGGGGACCTAAAAAGATCATAACAGAATTGAAACTTGGATTGTCCGAGTGAGTTGCGAAGACTGTTCTAAGTCAATATTTTTATGACCAAGATAATAATCAATGTTTCTGTTGATTTAAATGTTCACCATAGAAGATGCATAAGTAAAATTGAGTTAATGAATATGATAAAAGAAAACTATTAGAAAGACCACAGAAAAGCTGATACAATCCACGAAGCGCTAAGGACCAGTTTTTTCTGTTGTAGGAGAAACAGTCAAAATTCTTTTCAAAAAAGTTAAGTGTCAGCAATGTGCCAGTGCTATTAAATTACCGAAAACTACAACAACATGAAGACCAATTACAGCAAAATATTGCAGCAAGTTGCTGGCAGGTAGATAAGAACCCTACATAACAGACCAAAATTCATCTTTTATTTTGTATTTGAATAATCCAAAATCAATCAAAGTCTTATACATGTACATGTATAAGTGCAGTAATTTGTTATTTAAGGAATAACTGTAATATGTGTAATTAAAAATGTAGTGTACCTTGACTGTACACTGAATAACCCTCGTAGTTAATTATTTAAAAGTGTGCACCACATTTTTGAGGTTATTTCGAATACAGAAAAATTATTAAGTCAGTCCTTATAAATTAATTCTAAATTCCATTTTTAAGGAGTAAATAATGAAAAAACATTAATGACATCGCAGTCACATGACAAAATTATGTTTAAGGGCTGATGGACAAAAAACTTTCAGCCAATCAGAAGATGCGTTACATCCAAAATTAAATTATTTATTGACATTGGACATCGATTAGAGAAGACTACAATCGTTTTGACGTTGTTTTGGCAATACATGACTTCACATTGGACGTTGATGAGAGGGTAAAAATATTGGACACTGATTTGAGAATGCGATGTCAGATTTGGTCGTTGATTTGAGGAGTGGATGTCGATTAGAAACCAGATGTCAATCTGATTCTAACATATATGAAAGCATAAATTATCATTCCCTTTCATTGAAGCCAAGAAACTTTTGATGAAAATGTTCCTTGTACAATAACTGTTGTAATATTTCAAATTATTGGCAAACAGGAAGTCTCGCACAGATGAAAATATTGCTTTCACTTTAAAAATGCCTATTCAAATATCAAAGTGTCAGTCTACCTTTTAAATATAAAAATAAGGAGATGTGGTATGACTGCCAATGAGATAACTATCCACACGAGTTCAAATGACAAAGACAAAAGAAATTATAAGTCATCGTACATTATTCAACAATGAGAAATAGTAATACATTAATCAGCTATAAAAGGCTATGACATGAAAAATGTGAAACATTTCAAAATAGAAAACTAAAGGCCTCTTTAATACAATACAATTTATGAAATCAATTATGAGACATGAACCATCGACAACCACTGAAATAAGGGCTGCTCCTGACTTCCAAATAGACAAGAAAAAACAGGGTTTGGTTAAAACATGTTTGTGAGTGCTAAACCCTCTCCAAACCTAGGACAGTGGATGTTACAGCACAACACAAGAACAAACTAAAAATCAGTTGGAAATTTTCTTTAAAATTAATGTTATTGTCACTTAAAATTTCTGTTTTATTGATATGAAAGTTATAGGGGGTCACCAAATTCGTTTTTGCTATATAAATAATGCAAGTTTCTCTGAATATCTAAAACCATTGATAAAATTATTTCTTACCATGACGTCACAACTATTTTTGCCTTTTCGGCGCTTCACGTTGAAGACTCAACTATTCATACTCAAAAAAACAAATTGGTGACCCCCTATAAATTTTATATGAATAAAATGGAAATTTCAGTGACAATAACATATCATTTTTAAAGAAAAATCGTAGGACAGGATTTGGAGAAATGTTAATTTTAAGTCAAAATTATTGTACTTTTTTACAATATTTACGTGTATTCTATAAATTTTACTACTTTTTTTACGGATATCTTATTCGCTACATCTCAGAAAGAAGAAAAGTTATATATATATTAGATGTTCATGTGCAGTTCCTCATGCTCTAATTGTATGCAAAATTTCATAAAATCATCCATTTACCTACCTGTTACTTTGGCATGCTTAAGGGCAACAACTCCAATAAGGAGTCATCTGATAATTTCGTTGAAAATGGACAGTTGCTATATCTTGATATTCTGAATTAGCTGTCGCTACAAATTTATCTCTATATATAACTCATTTTAAGATAATATACTATGCTTGCACTTTACCACTATGTTACATGTATATATGAAAATGAAAAATCTTGCTTCAACAGTGCAGAAAATAGATAATCTGTCCTCTTAGTTTACAAAAATAAATAACCGATCAAAAACAAATCCTCCTGCCCCCCCCCCCAGAATATCAAATGGTCGTCCCCTTACAGTAGAAAAATCAATAAAAAAAAAAAAAAAAAAAAAAAAAATCGGGAAAATTTCCCAAAAATTTCATTGTACTAATGAACTCAAAATCGTTAACTTTTTTTTTGTAACTTTTTTTAATTCCCGCATTTGCGCAGAAATCTACTTCCTTCTTCCGGTCTCGTTTGTTATGAGACTTTGAGTGAAATATATATTTATCAGTCCAGTAAAATATAGGACGGAACCCAATAACAATTTCATTTCTAATTATTCTTTGATATGAAAAAACGTTACCTGATGATAGCGTTTCTTTGTTTACATTGAATATGACGTCATAACTAAAATAACGTCACAACTTAAATCCCTAACAACAGAACCAAAATCGGAAATGTTACGGTATTTCCGTTTCTTTTTTAACAGATTTAGAACTTAAAAATTATATGTTTGAATTAAAAAAAAACATAATTTATATAGACTTCGTCCCCTTTCACAGGTAATGCCTGCCTCATATTATTTATATGCCCTTTGTTAATTATTTTTACCTTTTACAGATGTCATTTCTGTCAATTCAACAGACACCTCTTAACACTTAAAGTCTTCTGTAACTAATTGTGATTAGACTGTGTAATAAAATTTTAATAATCCGCCATTTTCCTTTCGTAGCCGACAAACGTTTGTTACTGAATATATGATTGGTTGAATTAAGTTTTAATATTTAGAATAAATGAAAGCATTTTTCTAACAATCAGATAAAAATGTTAGATAACATACCTTTGGAGAAAAATATTTTTCTGTAACTTGATTCACGTATTCATTTAATTTAGTTCTATTTATCAATTAAAATAAGTGTCATATCTTATGTTTCCGATCCTCAAAGTACAATTAAAATGTTAAAATCTTTCTTTTTCTTACTTGCATTTATTATTTTTTACTTCCGTAAACATGCAGAATGACAACAAACGAAGATAACAGTATCCAGGAAGCAATGTTAGACTAGATTCTTTGACAATTTTTGAAGAAGAAAAAAAAACATGCTTGCTTTTTCAAGAAAGAAACAATATCCTTGTGTATTGACTAATGTAAAAAGTGTAGTGGGTCGGTTCTCAATGGGTTGGTTCGCCCTGTAGATTTTGATTATAATATAAGTCACTTATTTTCAACTAACTAAACAATGTTCTTTGATAAGTTCTTAAGAAAACAGATGGAAGTCATTCAACCAAGCTCAATACAGAAAAAAATAAAATATCATGATCTAATTGCTTGATTAGTTATTACCAGTGGCACAGGCACTAATGATTCATGCGCTTTAAAGGCCTTTCCCTCTTACTTTTCTAAAAGGAAAGAACGGCTAAGGGGGCAATTGCAAAGATGTGGCTGTAAATGTTTTGATAACACATCAGCTGATTATTGATTTTCTGCCATTTGCAAATTGTGTAACATACTAATTTATGATCATTAATTTTCCTGAAACCTTAAATTTTGGAAATCTTAATGTAAATGATACAAAATTGGCAAACTCTGTGACTGAAAACTAAAAAATTATTTCGTCAAATTATTGTGTGGATTGTAATTTTTTTCTCCCATACAGTATTACCTGTGACATACTTTGATCAAATGGGTACTATTTACTGGGGGTAATAAATTATAACATGAGATGTTGGTTAATAATAGGGATCATAAGCCAATATGGGCTAGTGGTCAATCTAATTAGGTTACTTGGAGAGATGCACTGATTCTATCTATTAATTAAAAGAGGTGTGTAAATGACATACTGCATCTAAACTTTACCTGGCAAATGGTTCTTATCCCTTCCAATTACCTACAAGTAAACATGTTTTATTGCAAGATTGAAATAGAGTTTTTTATTTATTAATTTTTTGAAAGGTTAGAAACCACCTACATGTATCAGTAAACAATGTACAAATAAAATTGAGAATGGAAATGGGGAATGTGTCAAAGAGACAACAACCTGACCAAAGAGCAGAAAACAGCCCAAGGCCACCAATGGGTCTTCAACACAGCGAGAAAATCCTGTACCTTGAGGCGGGCTTCAGCTGGCCCCTAAACAAAAATGTGTACTAGTTCAGTGAAAATGGACGTCACACTAAACTCTGAAACATATAAATGAACTAAATTTAAAAAAACATACAAGGCTATTAAACAAAGGCCAGAGGCTCCTGACTTGGGACAGGCGCAAAAATGCAGCGGGGTAAAACATGTTTTGTGAGATCTCAACCCTCCCCCTATACCTCTAGTCAATGTAGAATAAACAAACACACAGCAATTCGCACAGTAAAACTCAGTTTAAAAGAACTGTGTATATTTTAATATTTCTCCAATGAAAATCAGTTTAAATTGATACTCTCTTCAAAAGATACATGTATGTAAATTGGTTTTTGATACACTGTCCAAGATATTTATAGAGAACTACATGTATATCACTATTCTGTAGCAAAAGTAAAAAAAGTACATTACATGTATTTCTAGATAAGAGTTATCTCCCCATGCATTTCCTCAGATCACAATTAATCAATTTTATCTTGACACTGTTACAATTTATGTAAAATAATTTTGTTTTAATTATTGTATCAATCATTTAGATCACGTATATTTCTATATTCAAATTAAATATAAAAACAACCCTATTAAAGACTACACACAGTTATGAGATGACAGTTACATAAAACTACAGTCATGACAGTAATAAATCTAAAGTAATGTTGTATGTTTAAAGGAATTTATATGATAGAATTAATGTTGTTTTTTTTGCAGTTCTACACCTCAAACAACAGAACTGTATATTAAGATTGCAGATACACAATGGCCGATAATATATACATCTGAATACAACATTGGATTTCTTGGCCTAGAAAAACTTCATCCATTTGATGCTGGGAAATGGGGAAAGGTGTATGAATTCTTAAAAGGTAGACCTATTTTTTTTACTTTCATATTAATAAAAGAAGTTGTTTGGTGATCAGTGAGACACCAGCACAATAATACAAAAAATCAAAAGACATCCAGAGGTTCTTATTGTAAGGAAAATCATGTTTTTATATTCATGACTGTACTGTCTTTTTTTATTTCACCTGAATAATTCTATTAAATATTGCCTTAGTCATCTTATATTGTGTAGTTCAAAGCTATCTACAATGTTTGATTATCTATCTTTGAAAGCTATATACATTGTATTTCAAAATATTATGTTTTTAGCAATCTAGATAATCCAAAATTTATGTAATGACACGAAGGAGTCAATTTTAAGTAGTATTTTAAGATAAATTTTTATTCTTGTCACTTTTGTTTTGTTTTTAATATCATCTTTAAGGACAATCTAGATCTCATGTCATACAAAATTTTATCAGAAAGGATATATACAAATATTTTTCTTTATTAGTTGTATAATTAGTCCCCTACCGACGAAGTTGAAGGGGACTTTAGGTTTGCACTCTGTCCGTCTGTCTGTCCTTCTGTCAGTCCGGCAAATCAGTTTTCCACACTTTTTTTCTTCATGCTTGAAGATATATATTGATTTGATATTTGGTATATTGTTTTATCATGACAAGTTACAGATCAAGTTCGAATTTTGTTCCGGTCTGATAATTTTTGTGCAGAGTTATGGTCCTTGGACTTGGAAAATTCACTGAAATATTCAGTTTTCTGCACTTTTTTTCGTCATTCTTGAAGATATTGATTTAATAATTGTTATATAGTTTACACCATGACAAGTTATAGATCAAGTTAGCATTTTGTTCCAGTACAATTAATTTTTAACCGGTAGTGGACTACATGTATGTATTGCCATGCAATACTCTCAGAATGCTTGTTTAAAGATATATGTCATAGCTGAACTAATTATTATATATCATTTTCATTAGTCTGGTATCACCTAAGCTGAACAAAGGTATGCAGAAAAACATTATTTAACATAACAGTGCATTGTACATTTGTTGAAAAAACATATAATATGAGTTACATTATAACAGTATCAGGAGCAGCACAGCCAACAGGTTAACATCAGAGAGAATCCTGTTTGTCATTTATAATTCTAATAAATTGGCCCAATTTTCGAAGTTTTGATTGCTGTTTTTGATTCATGATAGTTTTGAATTTTAAAACATTACAGTTCAATAAGTATTTCCTGCCAGTTAATAGTTTTCTAACTGTCTGTAGACTGTTGCATTAATTGCATTCCATTAGATAGTGGTATTCATCACCGATAGCAACTCTGCACAATGGACACTTTCTCTGGTCTCATGGTGTATTTTGCCATCATTTGTGTCATCTGCGTAGAATAAACAATTTCAGTAAAGTTCCAAGTTTTTCTTCTATATCTTTGCCCCAACTAATTGTTATGAAACTTGTAAACAATGCTTATTACCACAAAACTCAGATCAAGTACAAATTTGGGTAGCGTCACTTTTTACAGTTCTTGAGTAATATCCATTTATAATGTTATATGCAAGCTGGGGCATCATCTGTGTCCCATGGACACATTCCCCATTTATTTTATATTATTTTGTAGTATATACATGTAATTGACAGTAATCGAAAAGTAATGTAATTACTTTTGATAAAGTAATTGATTGCAATTGACATACAAAAATTAGAGTAATCGATTACACAAAAGTCCTTCAAATAATCAATTATTAATCAATTACATTTGTCAGTAATCGTGCCCATCCCTGATATATGACAAATAAATTAAAATTAAATAGGAATCTTTACAAATAGATTTTTATGCACTCTGATTAATTCCAATAACCCATCATGTTATTTTTTGTCTGATTGACTAGTTTGAAAAGCTGCCAAACTTTAAAGATATGATTGATACATTTATTGTCTCCTTTAGGAATTTTGGGTGATGGCTCTGGGACAGCCTTTCATCATATATAATATAGGACTATAAATACATGTACATAAAGTGTTTAAAGTCGACAACTAAAATCAATGACAATTCCAATCAACCAAAAATAATGACGGTTGGAACAATGATATATGATTTAATAATTATTGAAAAAAATTATTAGAATAGAGAATGGAAACAGGGAAGAGACAAAAGACAACAACCGGACCAAAGAGCAGAAAAAAGCCCAAGGCCACAGATGGGTCTTCAATGCATTGAGAAAATCCTGCACCCGTAGGCAGACTTCAGCTGGTCCCTACTATGTACTACAAAAGATCTTATTTTGTCGCCAGACAACCCAACTGTAGCAACACATAGAGATAATTTCTGTCAAGTGTGCACCTGCTATTTTAATGTTTGATCAGTGATTTTTTTTTGTGTTACCTATTCTGTTGTCTCTTATTTATTTATACATTGTATGTAAATACTTTCAGAGGCTAAATTGATTCAAGAGAAGACCATAGTAAAACCAAAAGAAGCTACACAAACAGATTTATTGGTTGTTCATACTCAACAATACCTCAAAGATCTCAAAGTAAGCCAAAATTCTAGTTTTCTTTAACATTTCTCAGGTGTCACTTTAAAGTGTTAACAATAGGTATAATCATTATCTTTTCATTAGCAATATCATTGTATTGGGTATTGTTTTCTCTGTGGCTAGACTGTAATCCTAAGTGTTATAATGTTTTTATAAGAAAGATGGGTTTTGAAAAAAAGATGTGTTAAATTATATAACCAAAATCAATTCTTTACATTACAAATCTTGTGAGAAGCTTTTCACAGTGTTATTGTTTGAAAGAAAAAGATATTTATGATGGAGTCCAATGCCCTTTTGCTTGAAATGTCAAAGTATGCAATGCTATGAATTTATTTTTTTTTTAAATTGAGATTATTACCCATCATTTGACAACAGCAAAGCACAGAATATTACATATGATAAGACTTGGTTTTCATTGATACTAAATTGGCAAAAAATATTCAAAAATACTGATACCATGCATAGTAACATAAAACTTAAGAAACCAGATGTTACATCTTTGTCAATTTCTTCTGTAGTGGGTTCATTTCATTTATATATAAACATACATATTGTATACATGTATATATCATTTATGTGAAAAAACCAATTTATTTATTTTATTTAGAATAACTTTTGTTAATATGAAAAATGACTTTAATAAAGTTATTTGAACAAATTAGAGTAATTAATGTTGTACATGTACTTAGACAATATATATAATAATATACTAGTTACCCATCAGTACCCTCTTTTGTATGTTTTTTTCAACAATTTAATTAACAACAATTGTAATTCAATTTTACTAACATTTATAGATATATCGTTTAACATGTGATGATAGATGCTGTCTCAGATTTTTGAAAGCATGCTTTGATATTTTAAACAGTTTTAACATCCATTTTATATGCACTAATTTTGATTGTTTTATGTTAACAAATCTTTGAAATGTCTTATTCAATGTTTTTAACCAACCTTTATAAACTTTAAGACACTAAAATTGAAAGGTTTAAAACAAAATAAACAAAGAAAATGATTTCTCAGCATAAAGTTTCTACATCTAATGAAATATTATTTCAAGATATTACTATCTCATGAAACATTGTGAGACAGGCTCTATTTTACTATTTAACATACTAAAATTTTTTACTCAAGTAGATTTTCTGCTTCATTATATAGCTATCCGATTTCGTGGAGGGAATTGATGAGGTATTATATTGTACACAGTCCTTGTTGCATGCTTCATGTCACATGACCTTGCACCTATGCAAATGTCAATTTCACAGTCTTGATTTGTTTGAAATGGTTGTAAGGCATCTACATTTCATCAGCAAGATTGAATGTATTTTACTTTCCATAATCAATGTACAGACATCTACATTATGTAAAGCATCAATGCTTTTCTTTTCAGCAAGATAAACAAACAAATAAGCTATGATAAGACTTACACAGTATGTTTTGCCTGTTGTTAGTACCTGATCATTGTACACATTTCACTTTAACTTGCTACCATAGTAACCATACCCATTTGCATATTTTTTATTAAACGTTAGCATACATTGACCGTCATTTTCTGTAATTCCTTCCACAAATGAGCATACATACTCTTCCTACATTTATATTAAAACACTGAAAACTGTGTTATTATGGTGTCTGTTAATTTATCATTGGTTTTGATCAATTTTGCAGGAAAGATGGGAAGTTACGATATTTAGTTGATGGTAGTTATGATAAGGTGTTTTGAAAGATACATTTATGATTCATTATTTATTCTGCATCATACACTATTAAAGGGCTGAAAAGTATAAAACTGAAAGTGTCAAGACCTAGGATCAGTCTAGACTTGAACTCAAATCTATAAACGTAGTAACACAACAAAGTAAAAACTAAAAAAAGAACCAAATTTGAAATTGTTTAAAGTCTATTTTATGAGTAAATTTATTTGAATTATTACTATTTGATTGTACTTTTATAAATCAACCAGTATTTCATGAAAATAAGGACTCCTGGTAATTCACTAAAGCATTTAGGACCTAAAAAATATAACACAACAATCTTTGTTAGTGTAAGGTACATTGTATATCTGAGTATATATGAAATTGTACTAGATCAGGGTGAAATTGAAATTAGAAATTTGTTTAAACTTTATGCTTTGTACCAGTTAAAATTCTCTACAGGTGCTTTCTCTATTTTCAGAATGACATCTCATCTATAAAATTTATTTTGGTGTTATGAAAGTAAACACTTTCAAAACATCTGTATGAAAATAATAAAAAATTGAATTAGAACAGTTAGTTTAAAAACTTGGGGACAAAAAATCTGGTTATAAGTTCTAAAAATAAGATATTCACTCTCTATCCTACTCTTGCATGTAAGTGTAATTAAATTCATTAGGGAAAACAATAAAAATTAAAATGTCCCTTTATACATTGCCTGCTTTCACTGTGATAGATATACATGCATGTTATAGTCTAGCCCTATGATAAAAAGAATTTTTGTACAGTTGGTGTATTGCACCTGGAAATTGACCTGAAAGTCATTTCAACGCACAGGTCGTCAATTCTTCTATGTTTAATTGTGGTGTACATAATTGTATTGCCTGTTCACTTTTTTCATCACATTGAAGATCTGTTTAATATAAATGTTGACAAGTAGAAAAAAAAGCATGCCATAGATAGATATTTTAGATCAAGCACTAGGAGGAATTATTGGAAAGATACACATAAATGCATTGATACCAAATTTTCTTGAGTTTTCATCTTTTAATTAATTTGATGTACGAATGTAACATGAGTATACAATTCTGAAAAAGGGGGAACATTTTTTTAAATGTATTTGTCAGTTCCATAAACATTTTGGATAAAATGTGTTTGCTTTAATCCACAATCACAATCAAAGGTGTGTAATTAACTTGTATGTGTAAGTATGTGGCTTGTGTATCAATTCATATCAGAGGTATTTAGAGAATTTTGCCTTAGGTATGGGATCAGAAGAGTGATGCAGGTTCCTTGGTTTAAGTTTTATTTATCTATTTAATATAGAATGCATTAAATTAACCTTCTTTGTCAGTGTAAGCAACTAAATTTTGAATAGAACAAAAAGTGTGCTTTACATGGAATATTGATATGAATAAAAACACTTGATAAAAGAGTAAGGCATATTTTTGTTAATTTCAGTGGAGTTTAAATGTGGCCCAGATAACAGAGGTGCCACCTGTGGCTTTGTTACCTAATTTCATTGTACAACGAAAAGTATTAAGACCTTTCAGATATCACACAGGAGGTACTATATTGGTATGTAATATTGGCTTAGTTTAATAAGATCTCTGTTTTTAATTAAATTTACATTATAAAATTGCTGAAAAAAGACTGTTTACACTTGTATTTATTATTCTAAAGAAAACGATTGTAGTGCAGTGAAATTTGTTTAATGCAATCCGTTGTAGTTACAATCTCTCTTTAATTAATTCTCTTTTCTGGAAGTCAGTTGATATTTAGAAGGTATTTAATATGCCTGACCTTAACACCTGTCATAGGTGATCAAAATCTTCAGTCTTGAAAGGGTTTGGTGTAAACAGATTTCATTGCAATACGCAGATTAAAAAAAAAACAATATTTATTTATTTCTTGTAAATTTACTCACTATTATGGCCTTATATAGAGAAGAAAGAAAAAAAGGCATACATATATTTCTTGTAACAACTACAAAAGTTTCCTGAAATGATTTAATGTTTGGATGCAGCTCTTTATTTCATTGTTTATTGAACTTCAACTTTCATACATTACATTACTTACATTTGGAATTTAGTTAAAATACACTAGAAAAAATGTATGAAATCATTGTTCACAGGCTGGCAAATTAGCTATGGAAAGAGGATGGGCCATCAATATAGGTGGAGGATTTCATCATTGCCATGCTGAGAAAGGAGGAGGGTTTTGTGCATATGCAGACATAACATTATCATTAAAGTTCTTATTTGAACGTGTTGAGGGTGTAGCTAAAGCTATGATTATTGACTTAGATGCACATCAGGTAGGTATCATATTTTTTTAGAGAAGAAATTGTTAAGAAAAGGTGACACAAACCAGCATGTGCATAATACAAGGATGTGATAGTATAGTTATCACCCTGTTTATCTGTCATTTACTTGCGGGTTAATGTGATTGGTTATGGGTGCAGAAATGAAGCTTGGTTTTTATATCAAAAAGATTTTCAGATTTGTGTTGATATAGATATATCATGCCTGCTTTCACTCTAATATATATGCCACTGTATTTATATGTTTATATTTCAGACTGCAATTTTGTGTACAGCACAGAACAACCTTATGCACTGATTATTAGATTATTTAGAGGTTAAACTGAATTATGACAATCTACTATAAATGAGTCAAATCCTGTTGTTTCTATAGATACAGAGCATATCTTACCTCATGGAAGTTAATTATTTGCCATGGAAAAGAACATTGATGTTTTTCCCTCATAAATAATTGGATTGGAAGTAAATAACTAAATGATATATATAATGCGAAGACATTTATCACATTCAATTTTAAATTATAGCATGATCAAAACATTTCAGTCATTTAGCATACACTGTATATTTCATGTTTGAATGTTTTAAGGGAAATGGTCATGAACGTGATTTTATGGATGATGAAAAAGTATACATAATGGATGTTTACAACAGAGGAATATATCCACAGGATGGATTTGCCAAAAGTAAGTATGCTGTGTGTGTGTGTGTGTATTACATAAATGATGAACAAAGGAAGTAAATTATTATAGTTTGATAACAACACATTTAAAACATGATTTTATGTTAATATAACTAACAGACACAAAAACTAACTGTGTGACAAACTTGTTTTACAAATTCTCTTTTATAGACAAATAGTATATACCACTGCCTCTATTAATGGGTTTGTAAGAGTCATAAAGTATAAAGACCTGATTTTAGTGGCAAATATGAACCAGAAGTTGCCCCTGATGTCATGCAAATTATACATTGACTCATTAACGTGTACCCACATATTATATATTTATCTAGTCACCAAATGGTCTTTAGCAATGAACAATCTGACACTGAAATCAGAGTCTAATTAAAAAAGATGCACTAAACAAAGTGATAAAATTTCTGTCATACTTTACAGGCACTTAACAAGTTAACATATGGTGGTTTAAATTGACTTTGTGAGCACAAAACCTCCCCCTTTGCTCTCAATTCTCAATCAAAGTTTTTGGTAAATTCCAAAAATACATTTATAAGATACATTATTGTTATGTGTGTTTTAACTCATGATAATGTCAAGGTCAGTCATCAGTAATTTTTGGCTTGATATATAAGATTCTACATCAGAAGGTTTAATTGGTACTATGTTTATTATTTACTATCAACAATTGCATTATACTTATCTATTATCATTATCAAATGGCTGTATGTGATATGAAATGAACTTGTTTTTCCATTTTTCTCTTTTCTTTTTTTTTTATTGGGGGAGGTGGGGGGGAGGGTTTGCAGTAGGAGGAAAGGGGGTAAAATTGTTTTTTTAATTTTCTTTCAGGAGCTATTAAAAGAAAAGTAGAGCTTCAACATTATACAGAAGACCGTGACTATTTAGAACTTGTTGAAAGGTAAAAAATTTTAAACACTATATAAAGCAATCTTAAATCATTGATGACTCCATCTTCTGTTTTTTTAAAACAACAAACTGTATTCAATGGGATTAGAAACAGAAGGTTTCAGTTTAAATCTGATAGTTAATTCCTTCATCTCATTGGACCTACCTTGCAGGACCTACCTATATTATATGAAGTTAATTTGCTCTCCTACTTATTATGCATGAAATTGTTTCTGGTCATTGAAGGCATACAATACAGTTTTGATCCTGTCAGGATTTTTTAAAGAAAATTTGCATGCAAGCTACTTTTGACGTAGTCAATTCAAATATGTAATAAAAATATAACTTCATGTGCTTCTTTTAGAGATAGATGGGGTCGAAATATTAGACATTTACTCAAAATTTGATTTCTTGGACTTTTCTACTCTTTGGACAGACATATCTAACTTTTGTGTTTCAGAAGATAAAAAAAAGTGGAGTTTTATAAAACCAGTTATAATATCTTCTCAACATAAGTATACTTTAAGTCTGCGCAACAATTCTTTAGAAATAATTCATTTTTATACGACCGCAAAAAAATTTTTGTGGTCGTATATTGGTATGACGTTGGCGTCGTCGTCGTCGTCGTCGTCCGGCGTCGTCGTCCGAATACACATTAGTTTTCGCACTCTAACTTTAGTTTAAGTGAATGGATCTCATTGAAATTTTACCATAAGGTTCAATACCACAAAAGGAAGGTGGGGATTGATTTTGGGGGTTATGGTACTAACAGTTAAGGAATTAGGGGCCAAAAGGGGCCAAAAATAAGCATTTTTGTAACTTCCAGACATAACTTGTGTGTAAGTGTATGGATCTCTCTGACATTGTACCACAAGGTTCCATATCACAAAGGGAATGCTGGGATTGATTTTGGGGGTAATTGTCTCCAAATTTTAGGAATTAGGGGCCAAAAAGGGGCAAAAAACAAGCATTTTTCTAGTTTCATGACAATAACTTGTTTGTAAGTGTATGGATCTTTATGAAATTGTACTACAAGGTTCCATATCACAAAGGGAATACTGGGATTGATTTTTGGGGTAATTTCCTCCAAATATTAGGAATTAGGGGCCAAAAAGGGGCAAAAAACAAGCATTTTTCTAGTTTCATGACAATAACTTGTTTGTAAGTGTATGGATCTTTATGAAATTGTACTACAAGGTTCCATATCACAAAGGGAAGGCTGGGATTGATTTTGGGGGTTTTCCCTCAAAATTTTAGTAATTAGGGGCCATAAAAGGGCAAAAAAAGCATGCATTTTTCTAGTTTCAGGACAATAACTTGTGTGTAAGTGTATGGATCTTTATGAAATTGTACTGCAAGGTTCCATATCACAAAGGGAAAGCTGGAATTGAGTTTGGGGGTAATTGCCCTAAACGTTTAGGAATTTGGGGCCAAAAAGGGGCCAAAAAACAAGCATTTTTCTAGTTTCCAGACAATAACTTGTGTTCAAGTGTATGAATCTCTCTGAAATTGTACTGCAAGGTACCATACCACAAAGGGAAAGCTGGGATTGAGTTTGGGGGCGATGAATCATAAGGGGGTTCAAAAAATTGGGGGGGGATTTTTTTTTTCCTTTTTTTTCTTTAACATTTTCCATTTCAAATTGGTTATTTCTGATTTATATATAAAAGCAAATAATAATGATATGGTTTGAATAGGCATACATGTGAACCTCCCGACGGGAGTACAATAATCCCGTTTTCAGGGGTCTCCTTTAGATTTTTAATTTCGGGTCCAGTTTTCAAATTGGTCTACATTAATGTCCAACGGGTCCAAAATTAAACTTTGTTTGATTTTAGCAAAAATTGAATATATGAGGTTCTTTGATATGCTGAATCTAAACATGTATTTAGATTTTTGATTTTTGGCCCAGTTTTCAAGTTGGTCCAAATTGGGGTCCAAAATTAAACTTTGTTTGATTTCAACAAAAATTGAATATAGGGGGTTCTTTGGTATGCTGAATCTAACCATGTATTTAGATTTTTTATTTGTGGACCCCGTTATCTAATTGGTTCATATTGAGGTCAAAAGGGTCCAAAATTAAACTTTGTTTGATTTCATCTAAAATTGAATTATTGGGGTTCTTTGATATTCCAAATCTAACCGTGTATTTAGGTTTTTAATTTTGGGTCCTGTTTTTTAAATTGGTCTACATTGAGGTCCAAAGGGTCCAAAATTAAACTTAGTTTGATTTTAACAAAAATTGAATTCTTGGGGTTCTTTGATTTGCTGAATCTAAACATGTGTTTAGATTTTTGATTATGGGCCCAGTTTTCAAGTTGGTCCAAGATAGGGTCCAGTATTTAAACTTTGTTTGATTTCAACAAAAATTGAATATATGGGGTTCTTTGATATGCTGAATCTAAACATGTATTTAGATTTTTGATTATGGGCCCAGTTTTCAAGTTGGTCCAAATTGGGTCCAAAATTAAACTTTGTTTGATTTCAACAAAAATTGAATATATGAGGTTCTTTGATATGCTGAATCTAACCATGTATTTAGAATTTTTATTTGTGGGCCCCGCTATCAAATTGGTTTATATTGAGGTCAAAAGGGTCCAAAATTAAACTTTGTTTGATTTCATCAAAAATTGAATTATTGGGGTTCTTTGATATTCCAAATCTAACCGTGTATTTAGATTTTTAATTTTAAGTCCCGTTTTTTAAATTGGTCTACATTAAGGTCCAAAGGGTCCAAAATTAAACTTAGTTTGATTTTAGCAAAAATTGAATTCTTGGGGTTCTTTGATATGCTGAATCTAAACATGTGTTTAGATTTTTGATTATGGGCCCAGTTTTCAAGTTTGTCCAAGTTGGGGTCCAAAATTAAACTTTGTTTGATTTTAACAAAAATTGAATATATGGGGTTCTTTGATATGCTGAATCTAACCATGTATTTTGATTTTGGACATTGGACCATAATAGGTAAATTAAAAAAATTCAAGTTCTTAGACCACATTCTTTCTGTGTCAGAAACCTATGCTGTGTCAAATATTTAATAACAATCCAAATTCAGAGCTGTATCAAGCTTGAATGTTGTGTCCATACTTGCCCCAACTGTTCAGGGTTCGACCTCTGCGGTCGTATCAAGCTGCGCCCCAGCGAAGCATTTTATTGTTAAATTTCGTGATTGTAGGAAAAACAGACATTTTTTGATGTATATTTATCTAATTTTGAAAAAAAATCATCAGTGATTTGTTCATAAAAATAATCTTCATACATAATCAAGTCAATTAATATTTTGAAAAAGAGGGGTCCATGTACTCGTTTTTGAGCCAATGATTAAAATCTGTCCAAAAATGCATCTTTTACCAATATGTCACAGTTTGACTTCATGAAAAATAACAGTTTATGTTAGTGACGTCATTACCTCCCCTGTATCTGTATCATATGCACTTAAGCAACAATCTAAGATATTATTTCAAGTTGTATAATTCCAATATTTGAATTCCAAGGGCAATTATGCTGTTTATTACATTGATTACTGTGAAAGAATCACATTTTAAAAAAGGTACTTGTATTATATTTTTCCTATTCATTAATGATATATATATATATATATGCTGTTATGACAATGTTGAAATGAAATTTTATTTTTTTCTCATAGAAATTAATCTTCTAATTTCACTGAATAACAATTAAACGACACAGGAAACCATAAATTCTAAATTTAAAAAAAATGTATTTGTAGATGATGTAATTAAATAAACAAGCCACTTTTCTGAAGTAACTGAGCATTATTTTAAATTTCAGACATTTAGAAAGAGCTTTAAATGAGTTTACACCAGATGTTGTTGTTTATAATGCTGGTACTGACATACTTGAAGGTGATCCACTTGGTAATTTATCGATAACTGCTCAGGTATAGTATTTTAGTATTTGACATAGTGGATTGCATCAGCAAGCCAAGGGTTACAATCTACCCCCCCTCCTCCCTAATATTTAGTAATTTTAATTTGATATTTGTAATCACCAGCATATCTCAATTATTTGTTTGTTACTCCTGTCTTGTGTCCCATTGATTAGATAGAAAACAGAAAATAGTTTTTGGGGTTTAGGTTTGATAGATCAGTGTTAAAAAAGTTATTATGAAATAGACATGAATTTCTGGTTTAAGATGTAAGTATTCAAGATTATTTAACGGATTACTATCTAATGTCCTGAAAAAAGTTTTTGCATCCGATGAAAAAATGTTTCACCTTTTAAACATGACATTCATGTCTCATTTTAGTACCTAAATCAGTTGTAATCTAACCAGTATTCTTTTTTCCTATCTTTCAGGGAATAATAGACAGAGATCATTTAGTTTTCAGTAAGGTCAGATCAAGATGTATTCCTATTTTGATGGTAACCAGTGGAGGTTACCAGAAGACTACAGCTAGAATAATTGCTGACTCCATCCTTAATTTACATCGGGAAAAGTTGATCAAATGTGATGGTGCTGAAGCATTTCAGAAAACCAACTCAAAACGTATGTTAGTTATGATATTGTCCAAAAGGCTACAGTTGTAGATTTCTTTATCTTTGTATGTCATGGGTGTCGCGTGCATCTTATGTTAGTGAAAATAATTTATTATGTTGGCTTTTCACTTTCCCAGAATGTGACCTTCAGAATTAGAGTTATCTCCTGGTTTGTACTTACATGTGCAACACTGTGGGTGCAACATGTGGAGCAGGATCTGCTAACCCTGCCGGAGCATGTGAGATCACCCCTGTTTTTGGTGAGGTTCGTGTTGCTTAGTCTTTAATTTTCTATGTTATGTTTTATATACTGTTGTTTGTCTTTTGGTCTTAATCATTGTTTAGCCATGGCATTGTCAGTTTATTTTCGACTTATGAGTTTGCATGTCCCTTTGGTATCTGTTGCCTCTCTTTTTCAGAAGTTTGCCCACCATTTTTTAGTCTAAGTTTTGTGATTAGGTCATTCTAGTTTGTCTTATCAAGTTAGGTATAATATATAAAGTGATCCCTTTGTTTAAGTTTGATTTATTACATGTAGTAAAACCTTTATCATATAAACTTTCTACATATTCAGTTAAGTTTGTAAACTAACAATTAGGAAAACATTGGTTGGAGTGAGTTTTTTTTTTTATTGAGATTAAGCAATTTTAGTCGCAGCTTGTGTTTATTTCAGACCATAACACACATCAAAATAAATACCGAAAGATGAAATTTATGTTGCTAGCAAAAGTTGCAGCTTGTAGAAATTATACAAAAATCACACAAAGACCTTACAAAAATTATAACTCATAAATGCAGTTTATCCAATGAAAGCATTAGTTTTTCTCATTTCTAGACATTTATAAGACAATGTGAAAGTATATTACAGTTACTATATAACAACCCAAGGAGTGGGGCTATACTGCATTTACCATGTCTGTCTGTTCATCAAACAAATATTTTCATCACACTTCTCTTAAATACTACTGAACAGAATGACTTCATATTTATTAGGTCCAGGAACACAGTTATTGTCCTTTGATTTTTGCTGTCTCTAAATATAGTCCTAGTGTAGACACCTTTTATTTCTTCATATTTTATGCATCAAATAGCAAGTGAGGCAATGAATTACACAGTAAAAAAATTTGGGTCATAAATTTTAAGGTAAAGTAGGGATTTGGTACAGTTGAAAAAGGTCTAAAATTAGTCTGTCCAAAGCTTTCAAACTGAATTCAAGACCCCCTTAACATAAAAGTTTCCATATTTTGAGTTAGAGATGATGGAAGTTTTCTATAATTTTGATATAATTTGTCCCAAAAGTAGTACCCCATGCTGTAAAAATTTTGGTGAGAAAGCGAAGGTGCAATTTTTTTCAATTTGCATTTATTGTTCAAAAGAAATGCATTACAAAATGATTGTGTTCTTAGGCCATTTAGTCAGCAACCTGACAGGAAAGAGTTGTAATATATGCACATTTTTAGATCTTTCCTGTTTTTTATACTTGCATTATTGTTGTCTTTATGTTGTTTTCTTTTGTGTATTTTTTTAATATGTTTTCTCTTTTTAGGCTGAAGATATTCTCTGTGCACATTTAGGAAATTTAATTTATGTAAGCTTTGTTTTTATTTATTTATCTTTCACTTCACTTAGTTAAGCTCACTTTGAAATGTAAAGCTACCAGCAATAATCAGGTTAGTATTTTATTATTTAATCATTTCATCTATTTATTCTGTCATTTTTTTTTTCTGCAGCATGTTCTAATTTTATCCAGTATTTTTATTATTTTATTCTCAACTGAATCATTTTATTATCCTATTTATTTTGTTATGTAGTTCTGGCACTCATTTCACAAAAAATCTTATGAGAAATAAATACTTGTAAGTCATGACCTTTTCGTATAACTTCTGATGATTTTTATACGACCGCAAGTCGTATATTGGTAGACACATTGGTTTTCACACAATAACTTTAATTTAAGTGAATGGATCTCTATGAAATTTTACCATAAGGTTCAATACCACAAAAGGAAGGTGGGGATTGATTTTGGGGGGTTATGGTACCCACAGTTAAGGAAGGTTTGGATTGATTTTGGGGGTTATGGTACCAACAGTTAAGGAATAAGGGACCAAAAATAAGCATTTTTGTAACTTCCAGACAATATCTTGTGTGTTAGTGTATGGATCTCTCAGACATTGAACCACAAGGTTCCATATCACAAAGGGAATGCTGGGAATGATTTTGGGGGTAATTGCCTCAAAATTTTAGGAATTAGGGGCCAAAAAAGGGGAAAAAAACAAGCATTTTCCTAGTTTCATGACAATAACTTGTGTTCAAGTGTATGGATCTATCTGAAACTGTTCTGCAAGGTACTATACCACAAAGGGAAGGCTGGGATTGACTTTGGGAGTAATTGCCCAAAAGGTTCAGGAATTTGGGGCCAAAGGGGGCCAAAAAACAAGCATTTTTATAGTTTCCAGACAATAACTTGTGTTCAAGTGTATGGATCTCTCTGAAATTGTACTGCAAGGTACCATACCACAAAGGGAAGGCTGGGATTGATTTTGGGGGTGATGAATCATAAGGGGGTTCAAAAAATTTTGGGGAGGGGTTTTCCTTTTTTTTTTCTTTAAATTTTCCAATTAAAGTTGGTTATTTTTATACGACCGCAAACAAATTTTTGTGGTCCTATATTGGTATGACATTAGCGTCGTCGTCGTCCAAAGACACATTAGGTTCAATACCACAAAAGGAAGGTGGGAATTGATTTTGGGGGGTTATGGTACCCACAGTTAAGGAAAAAGGGGCCAAAAATATGCATTTTTGTAACTTCCCGACATAACTTGTGTGTAAGTGTATGGATCTCTCTGACATTGTACCACAAGGTTCCATATCACAAAGGGAATGCTGGGATTGATTTTGGGGGTAATTGCCTCCAAATTTTAGAAATTAGGGCCCAAAAAGGGGCAAAAAACATGCATTTTTCTAGTTTCATGACAATAACTTGTGTGTAAGTGTATGGATCTCTCTGACATTGTATCACAAGGTTCCATATCACAAAAGAAATGCTGGGATTGATATTGGGGGTAATTGCCTCCAAATTTTAGGAATTAGGGGCCAAAAAGGGGCAAAAAACAAGCATTTTTCTAGTTTCATGACAATAACTTGTGTGTAAGTGTATGAAATTGTACTACAAGGTTCCATATGCCAAAGGGAAAGCTGGAATTGAGTTTGGGGGTAATTGCCCAAAAAGTTGAGGAATAAGGGGCCAAAAAGGGACCAAAAATAAGCATTTTTCTAGTTTCCAGACAATAACTTGTGTTCAAATGTATGGATCTCTCTGAAATTGTACTGCAAGGTACCAATCCACAAAGGGAAGGCTGGGATTGATTTTAGGGGTAATTCCCTCAAAATTTTAGTAATTAGACGCCATAAAAGGGCAAAAAAACAAGCATTTTTCTAGTTTCAGGACAATAACTTGTGTGTAAGTGTATGGATCTTTATGAAATTGTACTGCAAGGTTCCATATCACAAAGGGAAAGCTGGGTTTGAGTTTGGGGGTGATTGCCCTAAACGTTTAGGAATTTGGGGCCAAAAAGGGGCCAAAAAAACAAGCATTTTTCTAGTTTTCAGACAATAACTTGTGTTCAAGTGTATGGATCTCTATGAAATTGTACTGCAAGGTACCATACCACAAAGGGAAGGCGGGGATTGATTTTGGGGGTGATGAATCATAAGGGGGTTCAAAAAATTTGGGGGGGGGAGGGTTCCTTTTTTTTTTCTTAAAATTTTCCAATTAAAGTTGGTTATTTTTATACAACTGCAAAAAAATTTTTGTGGTCGTATATTGGTATGACATTGGCGTCGTCGTCGTCCGAAGACACATAAGTTTTCGCACTCTAACTTTAGTTTAAGTGAATGGATCTCAATGAAATTTTACCATAAGGTTCAATACCACAAAAGGAAGGTGGGGATTGATTTTGGGGGGTTATGGTACCCACAGTTAAGGAATTAGGGGCCAAAAATATGCATTTTTGTAACTTCCAGACATAACTTGTGTGTAAGTGTATGGATCTCTCTGACATTGTACCACAAGGTTCCATATCACAAAGGGAATGCTGGGATTGATTTTTGGGGTAATTGCCTCCAAATTTTAGGAATTAGGGCCAAAAAAGGGGCAAAAAACACGCATTTTTCTAGTTTCATGACAATAACTTGTGTGTAAGTGTATGGATCTCTCTGACATTGTATCACAAGGTTCCATATGCCAAAGGGAAAGCTGGAATTGAGTTTGGGGGTAATTGCCCAAAAAGTTGAGGAATAAGGGGCCAAAAAGGGACCAAAAATAAGCATTTTTCTAGTTTCCAGGCAATAACTTGTGTTCAAATGTATGGATCTCTCTGAAATTGTACTGCAAGGTATCAATCCACAAAGGGAAGGCTTGGATTGATTTTATGGGTAATTCCCTCAAAGTTTTAGTAATTAGGGGCCATAAAAGGGCAAAAAAAAAAATATTTTTCTAGTTTCAGGACAATAACTTGTGTGTAAGTGTATGGATCTTTATGAAATTGTACTGCAAGGTTCCATATCACTAAGGGAAAGCTGGGTTTGAGTTTGGGGGTAATTGCCCTAAAGGTTTAGGAATTTGGGGCCAAAAAGGGGCCAAAAAAACAAGCATTTTTCTAGTTTCCAGACAATAACTTGTGTTCAAGTGTATGGATCTCTCTGAAATTGTACTGCAAGGTACCATACCACAAAGGGAAGGCTGGGATTGATTTTGGGGGTGATGAATCATAAGGGGGTTCAAAACATTTGGGGGGGGGGGGGGGGGTTCCTTTTTTTTTCTTAAAATTTTCCAATTAAAGTTGGTTATTTTTATACAACTGCAAAAAAATTTTTGTGGTCGTATATTGGTATGACATTGGCGTCGTCGTCGTCCGAAGACACATAAGTTTTCGCACTCTAACTTTAGTTTAAGTGAATGGATCTCAATGAAATTTTACCATAAGGTTCAATACCACAAAAGGAAGGTGGGGATTGATTTTGGGGGGTTATGGTACCCACAGTTAAGGAATTAGGGGCCAAAAATATGCATTTTTGTAACTTCCAGACATAACTTGTGTGTAAGTGTATGGATCTCTCTGACATTGTACCACAAGGTTCCATATCACAAAGGGAATGCTGGGATTGATTTTTGGGGTAATTGCCTCCAAATTTTAGGAATTAGGGCCAAAAAAGGGGCAAAAAACACGCATTTTTCTAGTTTCATGACAATAACTTGTGTGTAAGTGTATGGATCTCTCTGACATTGTATCACAAGGTTCCATATGCCAAAGGGAAAGCTGGAATTGAGTTTGGGGGTAATTGCCCAAAAAGTTGAGGAATAAGGGGCCAAAAAGGGACCAAAAATAAGCATTTTTCTAGTTTCCAGGCAATAACTTGTGTTCAAATGTATGGATCTCTCTGAAATTGTACTGCAAGGTATCAATCCACAAAGGGAAGGCTTGGATTGATTTTATGGGTAATTCCCTCAAAGTTTTAGTAATTAGGGGCCATAAAAGGGCAAAAAAAAAAATATTTTTCTAGTTTCAGGACAATAACTTGTGTGTAAGTGTATGGATCTTTATGAAATTGTACTGCAAGGTTCCATATCACTAAGGGAAAGCTGGGTTTGAGTTTGGGGGTAATTGCCCTAAAGGTTTAGGAATTTGGGGCCAAAAAGGGGCCAAAAAAACAAGCATTTTTCTAGTTTCCAGACAATAACTTGTGTTCAAGTGTATGGATCTCTCTGAAATTGTACTGCAAGGTACCATACCACAAAGGGAAGGCTGGGATTGATTTTGGGGGTGATGAATCATAAGGGGGTTCAAAACATTTGGGGGGGGGGGGGGGTTCCTTTTTTTTTCTTAAAATTTTCCAATTAAAGTTGGTTATTTTTATACGACTGCAAAAAAATTTTTGTGGTCGTATATTGGTATGACATTGGCGTCGTCATCGTCCAAAGACACATTAGTTTTCGCACTCTAACTTTAGTTTAAGTGAATGGATCTCTCTGAAATTGTACTGCAAGGTACCATACCACAAAGGGAAAGCTGGGATTGAGTTTGGGGTGATGAATCATAAGGGGGTTCAAAAAATTGGGGGGGGGGGGGGAATTTTATTTTCCTTTTTTTCTTTAAAATTTTCCATTTTAAATTGGTTATTTCTGATTTATATATAAAAGCAAATAATAATGATATGGTTTGAATAGGTAAATTTAAAATTTTTAAGTTCTTAGACCACTTTCATTCTGTGTCAGAAACCTATGCTGTGTCAAATATTCAATGACAATCCAAATACAGTGCTGTATCAAGCTTGAATGTTGTGTCCATACTTGCCCCAACTGTTCAGGGTTCGACCTCTGCGGTCGTATCAAGCTGTGCCCCAGCGGAGCATTTTATTGATTTATATATAAAAGCAAATAATAATGATATGGTTTGATTTCATCAAATATTTAAATATTGGGGTTCTTTGATATGCTGAATCTAACCGTGTATTTATATTAGATTCTTAATTTTTGGTCCTGTTTTCAAATTAGTCTACATTAAGGTCCAAAGGGTCCAAAATTAAACT